GAATATTAACTTGGAAAAAATAACAGAATGGCTAACATTACTCCTATTTTTATATATTTTGAGACCAAGTGTATATAATTTTATCAGAGATTTTAGAGTGAGTCAAAGTAAACTAATACAAAAACTGCATAGTGCAATTAAAAATTCATTACTGATGTTTTGTGCTGTTGTTTTCTCCACCGAAATTATATCACTTTAGCTAACAGGTTGGAAAGTGATATCTGGGAGAAAGGACAAACCTAAATAGTGAAATTATTTAAACATTGTATAACAGAAAGTTGTGAGTTTATCTAATTATTAGACTATTAGACTTATTAGGCAACTTCAAACTTCACAACACATTTAATGTATAGTAAACATCTCATGTCCTCGTCATCATATACAGTATGTCTTAATATATTAGATTCTACAGTATATGATAAGAACATGAAATGTACTGCACAGTATGGCCGAACAAAGACATGAGCATGAAGTATAAAGAGCAACAAATCAATCATAGAAGATGACCAAAAAGTAGTCATTCTGTGCAGACATAAGATGATACAATGAAAAGAGTAAGAAGTGTGCATGAGCGTGACACAGAGCGTGTTTAGAAGCAACAGTCAGTGGAGACTCTGTGACAGGAAGCAGTGCTGCGGGAGCTGATATGTGACCAGGAAACTGGCAGGAATCAAACAGTGAGCATGCAGAAACAGGAAGAACCGCTGGTCTCCTGTCTGCTGAGTGTTTGCTCAGCCCACCACCCAGTTCCCATGAGACCCACTGGAAAACAGCTCGAGTAATGGACACTCGCCTCTGAACCAGTGTGCACTGGGTTCGAACCAGAACTCACAAATTTCTTTTCGAGTTCCTGCTGGTAGAGTGGTGAGCATGCACCGGTCAATCCTGAAGAACACTTCTGCGCAATGCCTCTTAATGACGTCCCAAACGATGCTAAAATTACAGAATCAATCACGAGAGTCCTAATGGTGATTTTAATGAATGAACTGTATTGATGTATTGATGCCATCAGTTTTATGTTTGAGTGTAAATTTGAAGTATTTTAAAATTGCACAAAGCAGTACTCACAGCGGCGGTATGTATACATAAGAATGTCCCCTGTTGTCCAGCATGTAGTTTCGTTCCCAGAAATGATTATTGCAAGGATCTTGCACTGACAATAGAATCTCTGTCGTATTACTTACGAATGTATTTAAGTTGGACGATTCTGAAGCACATTTTTCTGTCTAAGAGCAACAGTTTCCTCTCATATCATATTATTTGCCAAACCTCTTGTAATGTTTTCAAATTGATAAGCTTTTTTATAGACATGGCCACTGCAATTTACAACAAATAAGTGCTGTTGGGTAATATAGGTAAATAATCTACAAATTACTCTGTAGAAAAGAATTAAAAAAAGAGAAAAAGTCATCTAAAATTTGTTTAAATGCATGTGTACCAAGGAAGTAATTGATTCAGTTTGTCATTTAAACAATTGAATCATTGAGTCATTTACGCTGGAACCACCCTAACCCTAACCTCAAACGCAAACTGATAATAACTTGAATGGTTCCGACTTGTTCCACTGATTCATTTATGAAAAAAAGTATTCAAAATATTAATTTCCAATGCTCCGTTGCTTGTTCTTGTTCAGCCAAAAGACTGTACAGTACACATAATTTTTTCCCAGAAATATTGTCAATAAAAATATAATATTGTAGCGGTTCACAGCCGTACCCAACAACAGTAACTTTTTTTTAAAAAGTGCTACCAATTTTTTACTGAAATATATTGTAGATAAATCAATAGTGTTGCTAATTTTAGCGATGATGGTGCGACCACATTAGTGAAATTTCAGTGAAATTTTGGGGGCAAAAAAGGTCACAAATGTAAAAAGTTGTCGTCAAAAGTGTAGTGAGGTATAAGTACAGCTCACACAAGTGGAAGTGTGTGTTCAAACAAAATGTATGGCCAAGCAAAACATTTGATAAAATGAAGTGATAAAATCCTTGATTAACATAGCATTTGGACAATTCGCTTCTCTTTTGCAGATAGGGAACTGGGTTTTTAGCTCCCATTACCAGAGGAAATGAGTGTTTTTCAGATGCCAATGAGGAGTGTGAGACCCCCTAAGTGATCAGATGCATGGGCTTTCCCAGCTAAACAATAGGTCTGGGACAAGAGATGTCTGGGTCAAATTTCAAAAACATTGGGGCTGATTTGGGAAAAATTATAGAGGTTAACAAACATATAGAAGAAAAACAAATGCATTTACGTTTGACAGATGCTTTTATCAAAAGCGACGTACAGTCATAATCAGAAACATTGACACCCTTGGTATATGATCAAAGATGGCTGTGAAAATAAATCTGGATTGTTTATGCTTTTAAGCTTTCATAAAAAAAATAAAAAAAAATCACAAAATATCTAATCGTTCATTGAAGTAAAACAATTGAAAGTGGGGAGAAAATCACATTAAGGAAATGGTTTTCTCCAAAACCGTTGGCCACAATTAATGGCACCCATAGAAATTATTATGAGTAAAATAATAATTCTGGTCATGACTTCCTGCTTCACAGGAGTATAAATATGCGGAAACACAAAGGCCAAATTCCCTTAATCATCCATCACAATGAGTAAAACCAAAGAATATAGTTCTAATGTGCAGCAAAAGATTGTTGAGCTTCACAAAATAGAAAGTGGGTGTAAGAAAATAGCTTAAGCTAATTGAAAATTCCACAATGTTACGAATCTGCTTGGAGCCAGGGATAAGCCAGGCTCCATCACCATCCAATCACAACGATCACTAGTATCACCTGAGTATTAATCACCAGCACCTGCACGCCATCTGCTCATCACCACAAACACTTATAAGCGCACACCTCACTCTGGCACTTTGTCTGGTCTCATACATGAGTATACTCCCCTCATTGTCTTCTCCTACCTTCCATGTGTCACTGGCAAAGTATCTTCGTCTCCCAGAGTGTGTCTCCTAGTCTCCAGTGTCTTTCAATTATTCTTCTTCTTCTTCTTCTTCCTGCAATCACTTACCTCTCTTCCTGCACCGGTGTGTGCTTCCCCCATCCTCCGCTCCATCATCCACGACCTCCTCAACCATCTAAACAGAAAACACTGTCAGTATCTCCATTCATCATTACTCATAGACATTTACCTTTAAAGGTTCCCGTTACTGCTATTTGCTTCATATTATCAATAAACCTATTTCTCACCTCTACCATTATTGCTTGGAGTCTCTGTTCCATAACACTTGGAAGAGGACATGTGTCTATTTATATGTCTTAATGTGTGACGAGAAGGAGAGTTTGAGTTGCCAAAGACGAGGATCACAGGAGAACTGTAGAAAATATTTCAGTCTTGGGGTCAGAAAGCCTAAAAAAAATATAATAATCTAACTCCAGCATATTTAGTCATCAGACACTACTGGAACTTCAAACGTGACCGGGTTATATGGTCAGATAAAACTAAAAAATTAGCTTTTTGGCAGCAAACCCTCCAGATGGGTTTGGTCCAAACAGGGATAAAAAGTACCCCGTGTCCAAAGTTAAATATACTGCTGGATCTTTAATGTTGTGGGCCTATTTTTTTGCTGGAGGTCCTGGACATCTTGTTCAGATACATGGTATTATGGATTCTAGCAAATACCAACAGATAAAAAAATCTCTGCCAGAAATCTTATAATGGGCTGGGGTTGGACCACAAAAATGTGTTACTGAGCACAAAATGAAGCTTCTGCCATGGCCTTCAGCCCCCTGAACCCTATAGAAAATGAGTAGGGTGAAGAAATGAAGCAACTGAGCAGCACCAACATGGAGATGGGCATTTGAAGGATCTGGAGAGATTCTGAATGAAGGAATAGTCTATGATCTCTTGTCAGGTGTTCTCAAACTCATCAGGCATTATAGGAAAAAACTCAGAGCTGTTATCTTGGCAAAAGGAGGTTGAAAAAGGTAATTAATAAAAGGGTGCCATTAATTGTGGTCAATGTGTATTGGAGAAAATATTTATTTCATAAAGAGCTTCCCCCTTCTCAAATATTTGACTTCAATGAAAAGTTAGATTTTTGTAATTATTTTTCACCAAAAGTCTTAACAATGCAGATTTATTTTCACAGGCTTCTTTGTTCATTTACCAAGGGTACACATAATTCTGACCATGTATTCAGGCATTCCCTGACTCAAACCCATGACCATGGTGTTGCAATCACCACCATCTACTGTTTGATCTATAATGTATAATAAATGCATTAATAATAGACAACTTTTGTGATTTGACTATGCTGTTGTGAGGTTCGAGACAGAGCCTGTTAGAGAGAAAGTTAAATGCCGGATGCTGCCAGACGCTCTCATGCAAAGAGCAATAACAGCAGTTTAAGTGCCAAACACGGACACCTTGACCATTTGTGTCTCCTATAAGAAAAACTGTCCATTGTTGTGGAGCTCAGGTTGTTTTTTCCTGTTAAACAGAGTGAAGCCATCGCAGCTGTACTCGTACTTGTAAAGTGCTGTGTTTCTCTATTCTTCCTTTCCTCTTGCCCACATGCCAAATCTTCATAAGGCTGAACAGTAACAAAGTTGAGAGCGTTAACACTTAATAGCCTACTTATTTTAAAATATAATTAAAACTCTTTAATTAATAGCTATTAGCTACCCATTTCAACATGTTAAAATGTAAATTTGATAAATATTAGTATTATAATAATATATACAGTTTATGTCAACAAACAATGCAGTCTGTGTAATCTAAACTGTACAAATCATATAAAAACATTCTTTCAATATAAATTTGAAATGAAGTACGACATTGTCTGAGAACTAAATTGACCACCAACTGCACCGAACACTTCAGGTTAAGATCATTTATTTGTGCCATCAGTTCAAATGTCACCTGCAAGGTGATAGAGAAGAAGCAGTGATCCATTCGACATTCAGTTACAAATTAACTTTCTCTGAGAATGGCATGCTAAAGACACACCTCCCGCAACCTTTGCACAACCTACCTGCCATTTCCTTAATCTTGGAAATGGCTAACAAAAATGAACCTGTCCATGATAAAATGTGACTACTGAAGAGAAAAAAACATCAGTTTCGACATATTCTTAATAACCGGAAGAGCCAAATCTCAGGTAAGTTGCCTCACTATGCACTTTTTCACTGAATTCTGATGCTTACATTCATCATTATGTATGTATATGTTTGTTATAGCTTGTAACATGACAATAGCATTGCAAAGTCCCATGTGTGCCAAATCTCTTTGGCGCAAATGAGCAGGAGGATAATATCTTAATACATAATTCTAGGTTGCTAGTTTAATGTTAAATGTTCTAACATTCCTATCAACCCTCATGTTATTTTACATTCTGTTGTCAACCACAACATGCCAACTGTGAGGGAAGGTAAGGTGGACTATTGTGGGAATCAGTATAGTTAACCGCACCTACTTGCTAAACTGACGGATAAGACTTAACAATATTGTCTAATGTATGACAGGAAAATTTGAAAAGGTAGGCTTCATCCAACTCCTATTCTGTTGTTATATTGTGTATTGCAATAATGCTGATTCAAAAAAGACATAGGCCTATATTAAGGATAAACGCAAACATAATAGTTGTAAAAAAAAAAAATCTAAAATTTCACGAACTTCATGCAGGTTGCAATTTAACTGATAGGTTTAGTTTTCAGTCACTTTTATATGCGACAACAACTATGCAAAGTTGTTAGTGCCCAATGTAATCAGTAACAAACAACGCAGGACTATGGGGACAGTGTGTAGTGTATACACGATCTTGGGGAGGTCAAGTGAAAGACTCATTTTTGTGGTGTGTTTGTTTGGACCCATATCTACAGTGAGGTCTGAGAAAGCATCTGGGAGCTGTTAATTTACAAGTATAGCGTAAGAAGATAAAGGACAACTCAAGATCCGAGCAGTTCCTACTTCTACCACGCCTTTTCTGAACCTATCTTACTCGCTTTTACAATGATATACACACATACAGACACTTCCTTTTGGCTGGCTTTAAGATCCTGCAGGTATGCTGTTACGGGGGCGTCATGAGAAAGGAAGAGATAAAAGCGGCTCCTGTGGAGTGTTTACTGCCAGCAGTGCTGAAATGAATAGTGGGAGAGTAAGGGAGTGAGAGGAAGGGCCCCTATAAAAAATGATTGAACCCTCTATGAAAAGCAGCCGCTGTGCAAGTCACAAGGAGATAAGCAGGAAATGCTGAGAGCCTGAGAGGTGAAACCTATAAAACAGTCTTTATTTCAAACATATGCAGTACATAACACAACTTTAATGTTTTGGTAAATTGGTGGCTAATTCGTATGTTCTCATTTGTATGTTTTCGTACAATCTGCTTGACAGGGTTTGAGGGTGCACCATTCATGCTAACTTTTTTTTTCTAAAAATGAATCACACTGTACGAATTCATACAAAATCAGTCATGCTTTCTAATGCGATCGGTGTGACAGTCATGTTTAGTTTTCACTGTCTTGTTTAGTTTTAGTCTTAGGAGGTTGTTTACATGACATCGTTTTCAATTTAAAACAGATTTTTTTAATGCATTTTGGCTGTTCATTTACGTATTCGTATTGGGGGCCTGAAAACACAAACTTTTGAAAATGGGTTTCAAAATGCATTTTTTTTAAAACAGTACCATTATTGTTTCCATGTAAACTACAAAAACGCGAATTTGTGAAAAATTCCAGTTCTCTAGTTAAACATTACATTTGTGGTTCTTATGTTATTGCTCTTCATTTTTACTAAAAATGTATTCATTGTTCATTCTGCGTCACACTATTCTTTGGATTACATATACAGTCAACCTGTGTAACAAAAGGTTGTTTCTTTAGTAAACAAAAATGATTCTACTGTATGACAAACTTAAAATGGCAGTTAATCTTTCATTTCCAGGAAAATTGATTTAAGAGACAGTAGTGAAAATGATTATTGGATTTATGATTGATTTTTGATCTTACATATTTGCAATCATTAACTACCCAGATTTGTTTTTGTGTTAATAAACTGGTCATTTGAACAAGTTCCTTGAAATGCATTGTAGCAGAACACATTGACTTTATTGTTTTGTACAGCCATTTTTTTGTACTTTATTGCCCTTATTACACCTTATTATGTGACAGTTGGAGCATTCTGTGGTTAAATATGTTTGCACAATGATGACTAAACTTTACAATTGACCATTGCAGTCAGTTTCCAAAATAGCTGGTGTTAGTTTTATGTCTCTGGTATCACTCTTTCTTCACAAATCATAATAATAATAAACAAATATATATATATGTAATGTCCATTTATTTATTTATTTGCCAAAAAGTTAAATAATGTATCAAATTGACCAGTTCAGGCTGAAAAAAATCATCTCTGCTTTGTGTTCTGATCGACCCATTCAGGGATTATTTGGCACAACTGACTGTGCATTATTCCTTATAGTGCTACACTGTATACTGTCTTGTTGTTTACTTTGTGTGTCTCATACTGTATATGATGTTGTTGTTTGCACAGTAGGGTGTATGCTGGGTCTTGTGGTGGGGTATTTAATGTGTCAGCATGTAAGAGTTCCTGATTATTGGTGAATTTATATTTTCAAAAATTAGTTAAAAAAGGTTTCAATTAATAATATGCTGCAAGGTCATATAAGTTTACACAGTCACATTCTTTTTAAAATAATAATAATAATAATAATAATCGCAATTAATCGATTCTAACATAAACGTTTGTGTTTATATAATATATGTGTGTATATATCATTATATTTATATACTGTATATGTGTGTGTATGTGTGCAAAAAGCATAATGTATTGTATACATATATAAATATATATGTGTGTGTATATGTATATATACGCACACACACAAACACAGACACACACACACACACGCACATTATATATATATATATAAAACATATATACACACATATATTATATAAACAAAAAACTTTTGTTAAATGCAATTAATCGCGATTAATCGATTTGACAGCACTAATGTATATGTGTGTGTGTGTAGTATAATAATATATACACACGCATATATTATATAAACACAAACTTTTATGTTAGATGCGATTAATCAATTTGACAGCACTAAAAATGATATGATGTTGTATATGTATAAAGTTGCAGCAGAACTCAAACTCTAGCAGTAGGCTACTAAACGCCACTTCTGTGGTTGCTATTAAATTGTGATTTCTACAGGAAGCAGGAAAACATGGGGTCTGCTGCGCACACAGTGTGTGTGCTCCTGTGTTTTTGGGTCTCAGGATCATGCTACACACTCCAGACCGTGGGCCCATGTACGGTCAACAGAGAGACGGTGAGGAAAAACAACACACACTCTGGCCTCTTTTGTTCCCCGAGCCAGAGCAAGTGCTGCTACATCAGGAGTATCCTGTTTGTAGACACTTGTTTCCTGTTTTTGGTGACAGAGGTTTTCTGTAAGTAGTTTATCTCGTGAGAAAATAAAAGCCTTGTTTCTTATTTGAAACGACAAGTGGGTAATCTTCTCTTTTTATCTTTTAAACCTTCATAGAACAGGGCAAAATTATATTTTGTGTAAATGCATTTTTTATCCTCATATGTCTAATAGGCCTACTATTTCATTGAAGGTGCTGGTGTTTGGTGCTGACTCCAGAAGTAAGTTTCACAACCATATAATTCTTAATTCTTCCTCCAGGCTGCATTTGACTGCAGTGGGAAAACACTTACGTCGGTACCACAGCACATCTGGATGAATGTGACCGAGTTGGACCTGTCCGACAATCTGTTAGACTTAACCCACAGTGACAGCTTCAAGCGCTTGAACCTCTTCAACCACTTGCTCAAACTGAACCTATCAGGCAACTACCTCCCCCTACTGTTAAAAGAACATCTTTACAGCCTTTCTTCTCTTGAGGTACTAGATCTGAGTAGGTGCAAACTGGCCGCAGGGGAGGCAAACGCTCTGACCAGCCTCTCCAGTTTACAGATGCTCTTCCTGGGGAACATTCCATCTGCTGCAGTTCAAGACCTGAGACTGAACCAGTTTGTTCAACTCGGAGGAGAACTGAATAACAGACAGGAAGTGGGAAACAGAGTGATGATGATCAGACACTCAAAACACATGACACTGGATCACCACAATGATGGTATGAAAACTATGGTCTTGTATTTACTTTGTTCGCTACTTGGGTCAGTGACGTATATCGTCTAGTTTCTTTTCCTTATAAATATACTCTTTGATTTCATGTTGGTTACATATAGATTTTGTACCATTTTCAAGAAAAGGTTTATTTGAATGACTTTAAAAATGTCATGTGGTATAATAACCATCAAGTAAAATGTAATAACCATCCTAATCATTATTTTCAAAAATGTTTTTAAATATTGAATTCATAAAATATTGTTGTTATCATGAATTTTAAATTAATAAACATGATTACATTTTTTTGGCAAGTCATGCGAAATGACATTTAACAATCTGAGCTAACCTTGCCTTGTTATAAAAAGGTACATTGACATTGACACACAGTCGCATATTCCTAGTTTTATCCATTTTCCCTACCACATTGCACCACATTGTCTACATCGGTGGACAACGTTTTTCAATTATTAATATGCAGTCAAGTAATTTTTTTCCTAAGAAATAATAATAGCCTGCAAGATTATGCCAAACTACTGTACTTTATAATGTTTTCCTTTTTTTCTCCATAATGGTATCACAACAGTTGTATCAGCCTGACATTTTTGTCCCCTCCAAAATAATGCCATTTAAATTCATTTTAAAACAGCAATAAATAATAATACAAATAAAAATACAAAAACAGCATAAACAATGTGTATTCCAATAATTATGTGAATTGAGTGAATAATTGAGTGAATTGAGTGAGTTTTGCAATGTTGGACTAAATTCAATCAAAAAATGAAGGCAACCCAGTCACATCTTACAGCCATTTCATTCATTTTCTCTGCATTAACTATATTTATATGGACAGAAAATATCTATTTGAGTGCCCCAAGACATTTCTTCTTTATTGAGGTATGGAAATGTACATTCACTATCATTTTAAAATTATTTATTTTTCTCATGGCAGGATATTCTAAGGATGTCAACCGTGGAGCCTTCCTCCGTAAACTACTCGCAGCGGAAACAACCTCAAACATTACAATTAATGGTCAAAATCTTTTTTTCTTTATTAATGTAGATTATTACCTTTTTAATTCCAACATACAGCTGAGACTCAGCTAACCATTATAAATATATTTTTTTTCAGGCTCAAATGCCATTGATGATCCCAAACCCTCTTCAGAGAGCTGGAAGGTCCTTGTGGCTGTTCTGGTGTCAGCTATCACCCTCTCCGTTCTTATCGCTGTGATGGCTAAATGCAAAGTCGTGCACAAGTATCTGGCAAGCTACAGACACTCCAGGCTCAGCGAAGTAGATGGCACGAGTCAGTGTGACCCTGCCAACTTTGAGGTGGGATTCTCGACCCACGGTGGCCCAGGGACTCGCGCAGCTGCACATACTGATGACATCGAAGAGGATGACGATGGGTTTATTGAAGATAACTACATTCAAGCAAGTGAGAGTGAGAGAGCCACAAGAGCAGCAGCACTGACTGATGATGATGATGAGGAGGAGGAAATTGAATTTAGTATTGGTTAGCCACATTAAGTCTAATCTTATTTTCGTAAACTATTCATTGAATGATTAATTGAGAAAATTAATACAGTGTCCCCATTAATATTTGAACACTTAAGCCACATTAAAAGACGTATGACTCCAGACGTATAAAAGCCACTTGGTGTAATATCTTAAATCTAACGAAATGAAATTCACACATTTTTATATAGATGTCCAAATAGTTTCTAGGGACACTTTATGAAAGTATTTGAAAATGTATAAATCAAAGTTTAATTACATTTGAATGTAGGCCTTAATATGTTAAGCATTTTATACAATATTTGTTATTAACATTATTAATGAAAGTTATTATAAAACTTTAGTTTAAATTATGATATTAATAATAAATAACGTTTAATGATTTGTCCTTCTTGAATTTGCATTTACTAATAATTGCGTTCTGGAAAATATACATTTTGTTTCTTGTATGTTTAATTTTATTTCTGAATTAAATGGATTTTATTTTTCAATGTTTTTCTTTTATTGGCCACTGGGTGACGCCAATATCTATATTTTCTAAATATAAATGATTATAATTTTATTACAGTTTATAAATGGTAGCTTGGTAGGCCTATAAATAAGACAAATTAAACATTAAATGGCATTCACATTATCCTAAACTAATGCAGTGATAATAGGCTTCTTTTGTGTGTCTTGTCACCTGAAAGTAGTTGAAGTTACGTCACACCGCTTCTATCTACACTGCAATCGAGCGACGCGTCAAAACTTGAACAGCGTTGGTTAACTATAATGGCTGGGTTCTAGTTTGGACGCGTCGCGTCTCTCCCAGTGTACAGCACAGCAACAAGCTCAAGCTGCACAACCGGTTAGACGCCTCTAAACCCGGAAGATGCGTGTATAAGGGATGGGGAAGATCTCGCTTCATTTCGAGTGATTAAACTTTACCAGAATTGACGAAACTTCAGCACCTGTCAGTTACTTCTTGCCATACAACAGCTTTGATAACGATGTCAGCGTCCGCGATCTTCATCCTGGACTTGAAAGGCAAGGTAAGAGCGCGTGCACCTGTCGGAGGAAGGTCGAACACTTCATACTCTCGGGATCAACTGTTTCAGTTTATTTGAAATCTATATAGCTACAGATAATCGAGGTTTAAAGATCAATTGCAAAAGTAAATTCTAATTCTACTTACTCACTTCAAGGTTTTTAAAACAACTAATGATGTCAAAATGGCACAAGACAGAGACACTCCACATCATCACTTTTAAAGTGACCAGCACTGTCACTAAAGGAAGTTGCACTGTTCATGTTTTACATATTTGTATGTTTCTATATGCGGTTGCAATAACAAAATATAGGCTTATATTTTGTACATGTCCTATAGTATTTTTTAATCCAAAAATTACAGTAGGCTATGCCTGATACATATCACCACATACCGTTGGAAGTTTCACAATGACAGCTGCCTCTCCTTGGACTTAAAAATGACTGACATTAATTTAATGACCAAATTTAACACTCTTATGGAAATATGATAATATTTTGTAATTATCATTTAAAACTGACTAATTCTTTTAATTATTTGTCATAAATAAACATCTCAGGAAAGTGTTATGGGGTTTCAAATCAAAATATTACTTTCTGTTACGAAACAAGACATCGATTTCATGCATACACTGTCATGTGTAAGACCACACAAGACTTAAATCATGTTTATCAGGCATTTTGGGAGACACAAACAAGTGAACAGGGAAAGAAATTATATTTCAATATTCCTATGAAATATTAGATATTTTTATGAAAATATTGCCAATTACTATTCCCTTTATTACGCTTCTTTTTTCATTACATGTTGCTCCAAGAACACATTAATATAGATACAATGTATAGATACATTGTATAAAATAGGGAATGGCTTTTCAACATATATTGCATAAAGTAAAATGGTATATCATTCTGTATATCCGTTATATCTTTCTTAACATAGCTGAGAATCATCTTTATACGAAGTTTTGTATAAAAAAATCCTCTAAACCTAAAAATGTATTGCCTATTTAAAAAATATAGCATTGTTTTTGCCTATTTATGCTTATTTATGTCTTTTTATTTAAAGAAATTGAGTCCTGGTGTCCTCTACAGAGGGCATAGCATAATATGAATAAAATATCTTAATATTTAATATATATATATATATATATATATCAATATATATATAAATATATATATATATATATATATATATATATATATATATATATAAGATAATATAAAGATATTTATATAGAGAGAGAAGCTCAGAACACATTAGTTTGTAATGGGTGGATAGGACTGTTTCCATGAAAACGGATCCTCAGGGTCTCAGTGGAATGGATTACCTTCCAATATACCCCTGGATTTTGGCAGTGCTGATGAAAGCACTCTTGTCTCTGCCCTAGAGCAATCCAATATCTTCATCTGAAGGAATACCTTAACACCAGCCACGTTAAAGTCAGATTTCTCTGATCCTTTAGGTTTCACCCTACTATACTTTCAATGCACCAGTAAAGTGCAAAGTTTAAGCATTTGATTGCATCTTGGATATTGGTTGATAACTCTTTGATTGAGCTGTAAACATTTTCTCAGGCTGGTTTGAGTCTATGGAAATAAACCTAAGTGTCCTTTTGGCCTTTTGGAATTTATTACAAGTGTTTACTTTTAAGGACATTAGGAATCCATTTTGTGTAATGACTGGTGCCGAAATATCTTTAAAAAAACAACAACCCAAAACTAAACAAAACCCAAAATCCATGTCTGTCAGTTTTCCCCTAAAATGGAGTGATGGGGGTCATCAAGGAGCATAATTGGGATACTCTGTTTTATGACATTCTTATGCTTTCAACTTTGTTTTCATCTCTAAGGTGCTCATATGCCGGAACTACATGGGCAACATAGATGCCAATGAGATTGACCACTTCATGCCCATAATGATGAAGAGAGAGGAAGATGCAGATTTGTCACCAGTGGTTATTCATGGCTCCACGCACTTCCTCTGGATCAAGCATAGCAACCTGTACTGTATCCTCCATATGCTTGCAAATGTAAAAATATAATCTTCCACTTCTTTTGAGAATATTTGTCCTACTGTTGTTCAGTAATAGCTGTAAATTTTTAGCGTATTAACCACTTAACAGATTTTACTCAGTGGTTGCAGTAACAAAGAAAAATACCAATGCTGCTCTTGTATACTCCTTCCTGTACAAATTAGTTGAGGTAAGTGAGTTTTATATCTATCAACATGACAACGCCTTCAATAAAACCTTGCACAGCACAATCTTGTTGTCTGTGTAAACATCTATACCCTAAAAAAACTGCCGTTACAATTCCTTACTATAATATATCCTTACTAAATGTATGTGCATTGTGCAGTTAGTAATCTTGTTTTGACCATTTGTTTGCAGGTGTTCATTGAATATTTCAAGTCACTGGAAGAAGAGAGCATTCGAGACAATTTTGTGACAGTATATGAGCTAATGGATGAAGTCATGGACTTTGGATTCCCTCAGACCACTGACAGCAAGATCTTACTAGAGTAAGTTTTGACAGACTCACCATTCAACCATCACTCCTCAGAGAACACTATTCATCCTTCACTAACAGCGCTATGAGGCATCGCCATTCATTATTCAAGCTCAGTGCTATTCATAAGTCACTGTATATGCTTTGTGCAGAGAGGACAGTTTGACAGAATGCAGTAAATCGTTTTTTTTATATTACACAGAGATGATTGGACCAGAGTAATGTAATGTTGTATGTAAGCATAAAGGGACATTTTTAAAGTTGCCATAAAATTCAAATTCATCCTATCTATGTTCTAAAACAATGTTATTGGTCTTATTGTGAACAATTCATAGATGCATATGTTACATTTTGAATCATAATTTGAGCTCCCAGTGGAACAACAGACTTCTCTCTGTCTCAAAATGGAAGAAAAGTTCTATCGCTACTTCCTATTTAATCATGACTTATTCCCGGTGGTTTATCCATTTAGAAGATTAAAGAAAATTCAAAATGCAAAATGTGAGCTTTTTTAGCTTATTAAAAACATTATTAAAAGAAGCTGCTTTATTTTACACTGAGAGGGTTGCCCCCATCATGGGTGCTGTCATGTTAATATCACATGACCAGCCGTGTTATAGAAGTGACCATGTTACTAATTCTAACAATAATAGTACATTTACTTATGCAGGTATAGCATTTTTAGCTGACATTCGGGGCATTTTAAAAAATCCAGAATCCAGAATCCAGAATAGGTCTGTCTTCGCCGGCCAAAGGTGGTCAGCGCAGACCACAACGATCTGCCCAGATCTGTCGGTTCTGGGCGAGCCCCATCCAATTTTGTCCCAGATCTTGTCGTAGCGAGTCACGCCATCGTGTTGCAGGACGTCCACGTGGCCGCTTGATGTCGATCGGCAACCAGACGGTGACTTCTCGCGTCCATCTTTCATCTGTCTGCCGCATCAGGTGCCCGGCCCAGCGCTTCTTGGCCTTGTTGGCCAGGTCCACCGCGTCGGCCACCCTGGTCATGGCCCGCAGCTGCTCGTTGCGGACGTGGTCGATCTGTTTAACCCCAATCATGCGTCGCTCGATTGCGTGTTCAGTCACGGCCAGCTTTTGCCGGTCGGCCGCCGTTGTTGTCCAGGTCTCGGCCCCGTATAGCATGGCCGGCAGGACGGTGCTGTTGAATAGGGTGGCCCTGATGTCCGGATCAATGGCTCTGTTGGTGGCCGTCTCGGCAATTGAGCCAAAGCTGACCCAGGCGGCTCGGCGTCGTCGTGCCAGTTCTCGGCCAATCTTGTGGTCGGTGGTCAGCTCCTGGCCCAAGTAGATATAACTATCTACTTGCTGGAGCTGGTGCTGGCCGACATAAAGGGTGGTGTCGGCCGCCTGGACGTTGCGCATCCACTTAGTTTTGGCCAGATTGATTTTGAGGCCGAACCGAGCACCAGCCTGATTGAGCTGGTCGAGCCGCTGCTGTACATCGACCGTCAAACAGCCTATCAGCACGATGTCATCGGCAAAACGCAGGTGATTGAGCCAGCGGCCGTTGATCTTGATGCCGACCTCGTCCCTGTTGAGCTGCCGGAAAATTTGCTCGAGGCAGGCGGTGAAAAGCTTGGGCGAGATGGTGTCTCCCTGCTTGACCCCGCGGCCGACCTCGATGCTAAGCGGCCGGTCGAACAGGGTGATAGTGGTGGCGCAGTTGCTGTTCAGCTCCTGCAGCAGGGCCACATGCTCGTCACCGATGCCTTGTTGTTGGAGGGCGAGCAACACGGCGTTAATCTCGACCGAGTCGAAGGCCTTCTCGTAGTCGACGAAGGCCAGGACCAGCGGCATCTTATACTCCCTGGCCCGCTCGAGCAGCTGGTTCAGTACCTGCACATGGTCCATGGTGCTAAAGCCAGATCTAAATCCGGCCTGCTCGACGGGCTGTTGTTCGTCTAGCTGCTTGGCCAACCGGTTGAGCAGCACCTTGGTGAAGATCTTATACACGGCCGACAGCAATGTGATTGGCCGGTAGTTACTGTGCAGCTCGCGGTCGCCCTTCTTGAACAGCAGTACTGTCTTGGCCGTCTTCCACTGTTTGGGGATTTGACATTGTGCCATGTAGCGGCTGAATCGGGCCGCCATGGCCATCCAAAGTGAGTGGCCGCCGGCTTTGAGTAGATCGATCTCAACGCCGTCCAGGCCGGGCGCCCGGTCTGCCTGTGCCTGCTCGACTGCATGTCGGACCTCGCTTTCCAGTACTGGCAGAATGGGCGGCAGCTGGTCGAGCTGAAGGTTAGGTGGGGGGACGGGAACCTTGCTGGCGAATAGGTCACTATAGAAGCGCCTGCACTCGGCCTCAATACCGGACCGAGTCCTGATCGTCCGCCCGTCTGCCGTCTTCAGTGCTGGTATTTGGCCGCGCTGCTGTTGCATCGCCCGCCTGCATTTTTTCAGGCTCTTGCGGTCCTCGGCTGTCGCCAGCAGGCGCCTCTGTCTGTATTGATCGAGGTCAGTCTTGAGCTGCTGCCGGATCTGCTTGCACAGCAGGCCGTACTCGACGTGTGTGGGTCTGTCAGCGCGCATCTGCCGCCGCCTCTGCATCAGGGCCTTGGTGGTGTCCGAAATTCGGCTGGCCCGGCTGTTGGTCGGCACTGCAGCTGCATCTCGGCTTGACTTGAGCAGGCCAATAAAGTGGTCGTAGTCCTGGTCGATGTCGGTTTCAAGCTCAAGCTGGGCCCAGTTGGTTCGGTTGATCAGAGTGTGGAAAACGGCTAGATCAGTGTTGACCGGCTGCTTTGCCCGGTTGCTGGCTGCCAGTGCGCGCTTTTCGGTCCTGCCGTCGATGACCAGCTTGGCCCTTACCGGCCGATGGTCGCTGCCCGTGTCAAAGAACTTGCGGCCAATGACAGCGACGTCAAACTTTCCAGGATGGCAGCCAGGTTAGCCTCACTTGACACAGTCCTGGCATTGAAGGTAGCAATGTCGAGCGCCATGGTGTTAATAGTCCGGTCCTTTAGTCGGTTTCCAGATGGCGGCCTAGTACCTGAGATTCTTAGCAGCCTCTCGTCCCTGGCCGGGTCGTTCCGCCGCCGTAGAACGGGCGCAGGGGCGTGCAGGGTACTGAGGCCCTTGTTTGTCGTTGTCGTTGCAGTTGGGTTCAGACCTCGGCTTGCAAGGCCACTAGGTCTGTGCCCTCGTCCTTAGCCAGGTGTCTATCATCTTCTCAGCATGGTTGAACCTACCAGGAATTGCTTCCCGCTGTACATCGACGACAGACTCCTGTTTCACCCCCCCGCCACGGTGAGGCGGACGAATAGGACTTGGGTTTTTTTTATTATTTAAAAAAATAATAAACATAAAAGAAGAACATGCTAAATAAACAATGTAACAAGAAAACACAATATACATTTTCTTGTCCAGCAAATTATAAAAAGGCTAAAGAACAAAAAAAAAACACATAGTACATATAATTTGTTCTTCATAAACATCTTTCTGTTTTATAAGGGCTTATCAGTTTCTTGGCTTTGCAAGCAACCTCTTAGCGGATAGCTAATTATTGCTAGCTCTCACTGACAGCAACACAATACCCTGTCAGCTGGGGACACTTGAGGTTTGAGCACACACACATACACATCTACAGTTCTCAGACCTTGTTCTAAAAACTACACTGATGTAGAATCGATTCAGAATGAATGAGGAAACCTATGTATTGAATATTTAGTGGTTTGTTTTGGTGTTTTAAATAGGATGCTAATGTTCATCAGGGGTGATTGAACACTCACTCTAATGTTAGTGTTCACACTGAATTATTTTTACATAAGTGTTTTTCATGTCTGAGGTGAAGGATGTGTGGTAAAGAAAACATTACAGTAATATAAGTGAGACAAAAAAAAGACAAACAAGGTCAGGTGTTTTTCGGTCTGTCTGTCCCTAGGGGCAGCCATGTTCTTCTCATGAGTCCTTGTTCTCTCAGCATTCTAACACCAGAGGTCTGTTTACATACCTACTGAAGTTACTTGCTTCACTGACTCCTTTTAATTGAAATCTAATTAGATCTGTAAAGTTAAGTCTGTGACCGATGACAGACTGACATCATGACATAATAATGTTCATCACATAATAAAAGCTGGCATACACTCGTGGGCTGATATAATAATTAATCTGCATAATATAAGATAATAATATAAATATAAATATTTTTATGCTGACTGTCGGTTTCTTGGTCATTGTTATTGTCACCATGACCTAATGGCCTTTTTTTCACTTCCACGACAGGTACATCACCCAACAGGGGCATAAGCTGGATGTGGGAGCGCCACGACCCCCAGCTACAGTAACAAATGCTGTGTCTTGGAGGTCAGAGGGCATCAAATACAGGAAAAATGAAGTCTTCATGGATGTCATTGAGTCTGTTAACCTATTGGTGAGCTGATTTAATGTAGGGACAACATTCCTCAATCAACCAATCAGTCTTTAGGGCGTGGTTTAGGGTTGAGGCTTCAACACTTCTCTTTTTAACCTATGATTTCCATATGACTTTAGGCACGTTTAATGGATAGGGTTGGGAAGGACTAACAAAAGATTCATGAATACATTCTAATTGACAAAATTACAGTCATCGTAGATGCTGCTCATATTAATTTTAAATATTATATTGATAATGCGTGGGTGCAAGTAATTACTCTTGACCCATTAGTCCTTATCAAATTTCAACGTGTGAAATTTGTTCGTACACTACCATTCAAAAGTTTGGGGTCAAAAATATGTATTTTTTTTTATTTCAAATAAAAGGTGTTCTTTTGAACTTTCTATTCATCAAAGAATCCTGAGAAGATGTATCACAGTTTCCACATCCAAAAATAATAATATCCAAAAATTGAGTGAGTCGTGAGTCGTTCAAAACCTTTCTTTTTAGTAAACTTTGTGTACACAATGAATTCAATGCTCAAGTTCATGTGTAGAGGCCCTGGTGATACTTTGAGCACAGTTTTATGTTGTGTCGAGCCTTCTCAGTGTTTTAAAAACAGCAATTTTGATGCTATCATAGAAGTGCCCCTTGCTCTCCCATTCAAAAGGCATTTTTACCTAAAATGAAAATACGGTCAATCTTAAAAGTGGCGTTTCCATTCTAATTATGCTTTTACAGGAAAGTTTGACTCGGGTAGATAAACAAAAAGAGTCTAGGTTCAATTTTGGCAAGAGTTACCCTTTAAAGATATTTAATAAATTAAAAATGTAAAACTATTAACATAGAAAACAGGTATTTTAACGGTAATAGTATTAATTGTAATAGTATTTAACAAAAATTACTTTTACTGTTTTTTTATCAAATAAATGCAATGAAAAAAAGAGCAGTTTTAAGTAAATAAATTGCAATAAATACAATAGCATAACATGCATTATTTATTTGAAAAAGTAACTTGTTTTATAGTAAAAATATAAAAATGAGCATAAAAAAAGCACAGCTTTTCACAAACTGGATCGGTTTTGCTTATTCAGTACAGACATCAAACAGCCCACGCTATCGCTCCATCTTCCTACTGTACCTCAGCCGACCTTCTTCATGTTTTCAGGGTCAAGGGTCAAGTCTCCAGACTTCCTTAGATTGAGAGAGGGAGGAAACAGCTGCCGTCTTTAAGTTCTTGTTGCCTTTCTTTTCTGCTCCTTAACTCTCAGCCCCCCCCCAACTGGACTGGCTTTTGATGGATTCATTAGCGCTTTTCAGAGTCAGGGTCTAACTCTGGCAGACAGTAGCTCTGAGCAGCACCTCTCTTCTGATTAAGAGCTAAATCACGTCTCATTGCTTTCTAATTCTGCATTGCTATTCATCCGTGCAGCTTTCTCGCTCTGGCTTTTTCAGGCTCTTGTATCTGAGAGCCCTCAGAGGTATTGACTCGATGTTGACTTTTTTAGGTTTAGGAGTCCAGCTTGTATGCTTTTAATATTTTAGCATAATATAATATATTACATTCTCATATTCGTAGTTTTCACAGCACACATCAACCCTCTCTTCGCAAACGCATTATAGCACAAATCACACGGTTACTGCCTGCCCGACTGAGCGTAATAAGTTGTAGATGGCAGTAATGGTGATGATGCAATATCACACCTTGCCACTCTTGATTGTGCTTTTCATTTGTCTTCTCTGTTTTATTCGTTATAGGTCAGTGCTACAGGCAGTGTTCTACGAAGCGAGATTTTGGGCTGCATCAAGCTCAAAGTCGTTCTGACAGGCATGCCTGAGTTAAGACTTGGACTCAATGACAAAGTTCTGTTCGAGACCACCGGCCGTGAGTACACACACCTATCAGTAAACTGAAAAGCATATTTTTTCGATGTAAAAATGCAGCTTAATACGCAGAGACAACGATAAGTAAGCTATTTGCAGGCTGATTCCCGCTCTGTTGCAGTAGCAGCATTGGCTCAACCAATGGCATAAGTTTGGGGCGTGGAACAAAAAAATGTTCAATCATTATTTTTACCTTCTGTTAACACAAATGGTGACCAAAATTACACATTTCAGTCTTTTTTTAGTAGTGCAGAAAGTGACCTAATTCCCAGGGCTGATAGTCAAGCAGTCAATTGATTGTCTTAACCTATTTTATAGTAAGTGTCTCTCTCATTTGCACTTGTTAGGTGAATTCCATTCATCTGATTCTCTTGGTTAATCTCCACCCCAGGCCTAACCCAGCGGGTGTTAGTTTCACAGTAGACCAGGATTCAGTTATGCATTCTGCATGTGCTCTATAAATGCAGCTATGCATTCTAGAACATGAGCGCTCCAGATTTACTATCCAACAGAAAGGAAATCTCTATCAAATTGAGCAATGATATTCTGTTCAATTAAAGATACACAGTGTAAATTTTGGCCCTCTAACGGTTAAAAAACAAAACTACATGCATTTTGCGGAAGAACATGGTTTTTGTTGTGATTCGGCTCTGCGTGACTGTGCGGATGAATATGGTTATCATATAAAACATTCACTTCTAGATATAATTAGTTTAGATGGAACGGATATCAAGCTGATTAGATGAAGATGTTACTGTAGCTATATCCATTAAAAGACTGTGTTCAATGCCTTACTTGTCTGTTGAGCAACAAAAACGTCATCTCCGCGTCGCTTTTACAACATTTCAAATCACTCAGTTCTTGCCATCTTCGAAAAGTCAAGCCAATGTTGGTTCTCATTTTCTCATTTTATTACGAGCTGTCACATTCTTTTTTTGCCAGCAGACTCTCCTCTTTTCGATGGTTTTGTTTATTTTTTTTTAAAACAGGTGATTCCACAGAGGTTCAAGATTTAGTGTGCTCCATGTCAACCTTTCTCACTCATTGTGACAACTTACATATGCCACTCCCATATGTGTCAAAGTAGCCAGAGCAGCTTTTCTCTATTGACGCATGGACGAGTGACACAAGTTCGCAATTTCGTGTGAAAAGCATCCCGCTCAGTCTAAATTCTAAACACTTATAACGGACTCACCGTGAATCAGGGTACGACAAGAACACGTTTTGGAAGAAGGATTGATGGTGTATTGACTTGTGATTTAAATTTAGTTAATTTTTAACAAAACAAAACAAAAATGTTACATAGTGCCCCTTTAATATCTGATGCATTTTAGATGGATTTATCAACCAAGCTGTGCTGCAGCTTGCCAACATTTCATAGACATTTCAAGTCACATATTAATTTTACTTCGACAGGAAACTGTTTTATCAGATATGGTTTCGGGGAAGTAAAATCAACCTACTTGTTTCCTGTACACTTCCCACTATAAAGTTGCACTCTGGCACAAACTATTGTAAACATAGCTGAAGATAAAGGCGCCATTCTGGTCTTACAGTTTAAGTCCTAATATATGGCAAGCCGTTTTGACTTTTATTCATTCCCACGATATGAATTCTTGATATAAACAATAACATTTTCTTAAAAAGAATCTCTACTTTTCTTAAAAAGAGTCGCTTCTTTCTTAAAATGAATCGATACTTTTCTAAAAAAAAGAATCAATACTTTTCTTAAAAAGAATCACTAATTTTCTCAGAATGATTCGCTACTTTTCTTAAAAAGAATCGTTACTTTCCTTAAAGTGAATCGATATTTTTCTAAAAATGAATTGCTACTTTTCTTAAAATGAATCGCTACTTTTCTTAATGTGAATTAATACTTTAAAAAAAATGAATCGCTACTTTTCTTAAAATGAATCGCTACTTTTCTTAAAAAGAATCTACTTTTCTTAAAAAGAATTGCTACTTTCCTTAAAGTGAATCGATACTTTATTAAAGTGAATCAGTACTTAAAAAGAATCTATACTTTTCTTAAAAAGAATCGCTACTTTACTTAGTGAATCGCTACTTTCCCTAAAGTGAATTGATATTTTTCTAAAAACAAATCGCTTCTTTTCTTAAAGTGAATCGCTACTTTCTTAAAGTGAATCGCTAATTTCCCTTAAGTGAATCGATACTTTTCTTAAAAAGAATGGCTACTTTTCTTAAAAATGAATCATTAATTTCCCTAAAGTGATTCGATACTTTTCTTAAAAAGAATAGCTACTTTCTTAAAATGAATCGCTACTTTTCTATAAAAGAATAGCTACTTTTCTTAAAATGAGTCGTTACTTTCCCTAAAGTGAATCGATACTTTTCTTAAAAAGAATCGCTACTTTTCTTAAAATTAATCGATTCTTTTCTAAAAAATAATTGCTACTTTTCTTAAAAAGAATCGCTACTTTGCTTAAAAAGAATCGCTACTTTCCCTAAAGTGAATCGATACTTTTCCTAAAAAGAATCGCTACTTTTCTTAAAATGAATCGATACTTTCTTAAAAAGAATCGCTACTTTCCCTAAAGTGAATAGATACTTTTCCTAAAAAGAATCGCTACTTTTCTTAAAAAGAATCCCTACTTTCCCTAAAGTGAATCAGTACTTTTTTTTAACCCTGAGTGTAATGAGTGCTGTTTTTGTCCTCATGTTACTGTTTACGTCAGGCAGTGTGGGGGGAGTTTTCCTTTAACACAAACTCAACAACAGCTGATCTCACTGTACTGTAAGTGTACGTGCATCAAGGACTAAGAAAGGGGAACATTTTCAAGCCTTGTATGGTTGTCTCTTCCACTCATGATGCACAGATACATAATACAAACAAGCTGGGCAATACCAAATCAGTAGCCAGGCCACCGGGATTTCACCTTTCCCTGCTACTCCCAATGGGCAGTCCGAGACTGCCTTATATATTTAGCACAATTTTATTAATAATAAAAATGATGGCACTTCAGGTGAAAAAGGTTGTCCTCTGTGTTGAGTCTTTTAAACTACTCCTCAACGTGGAAGCAGTGTAAATAAAGTTACATCAATGAAATGATAGCAGTCCACGGCCACACCCCCCGTGCTAATGGTACAGCCCACAGCTCAAAAAAAAAAAAAAAAAAAGGAAAAATATATAATCGGCTAGATTTCATTTATTCAAATGATTGTTTCTGAAGTCACAATTTAGCAAAAGTACACGAAAAAAAAAATTAACTGGTTTAAATTTTAGATTTTTGCATTTGCATTGTATTGTCTGAAAACTGAATTGTGAAGCGTTACACGGACCGTAAACATAGCTGAAGTGAAATTGGAATTCCAAATAGTAAGAAATCAATTCTTGAATAAACAATTGAATCCATATTTCTGCGAGTGATGACGTCATTGTTGATATCGAGAATTAACATTTTTACTAGTGGAAATGTAAATCCTGATATCAAAAATTGTCATTGTTACTAGTATAAATCTAATTCCTGGTATCAAGAATTAGCATTTTAACTAGTGAAAATGTAATTGTTGATATCAAGAATTCATATCCTGGGAATGAATAAAAGTAAAAACGGCTTGCCATACTAATATGAACCCATGAATATCTCTCCTCAGCTCAGCAGTAGAATGAAAATTGAACAAGTGAAACACTGCTCTCTAGAGGCTCAACCCTGAAAATGGAGTTTTTTAATTGTGAAGGTTAAAATATAGGACATTGTCTTCTTTGTAATAATGTTGATATGAAATGATTCTGTAATTACAAAATTTTTCACATTATTATTTATTTACCAATAGTATTTATTTATTGATTGATTTGATCTAATTTAAAGGAAAAACATTACAAATTATATTTAGAATTATATTTTGAGTAACATTTAGATTTAATTTGGGGAAAAAAAGTGGTTTGTCTTTCTTTTGCTTTAATGACAGCAGCTCTCTACCTAATTTGAACTTGACAAGTTTGTGTAAAACCTAATGATCATGTTATCCAGCATGATTTGACAATATCAAGTGTCTTGTGCTTCGATGGAAGCAAGAAAAATGTGACATTTTGTACATAGTTCAATCCATCCATCCTCCAAACCGCTTGTTCTCTGCAGGGACATGCTGGAGCCTATATATATTTTAGAAATGTTATATTTTATGTTCTAATATTAGAACATTATCTTCAGAGCAACCTTTACTGCCATGTCAAAAGATGTGTTCCTAAAAGTGTACCTCTGGTTCTAAACACCAATCACTTTCTCCGAAGCCTCTGCCTGTGGACCCTGGGGAGCCAATCAGAGAGCTAAAAGAGAGCATCCTAACCCCTTCCCGACCTTTAGTCCCTGCGGTTGATGTCATCATTAGATGCTTCAGCGGCTCCCAGCACGTCTCATCTGCGGCAGAGGACACAGACACCCAAAGCTTCTGATCTGACCTCTGAGTTCCAGCTCAAACCTCTGAGAGCTCTTTCATGTTCCACTGTAAATGTCACTCCTGGATAGAGTGGAATACATTCATAAATATAAAGAGAGGCTCACACGCACACACACATTCCTGCTGTGAGAGTGCTGGTGAAATCCCACAGCTCTGTGGTATTAGTGAGTTTTGGGGCTCAGAGGCCCTGACTCATTAAGAAGCTCTTCTGTAGTCACTGGCTTTCTCTTTGCTGAGGTCGAACAAAGTAACGACCTTCACACTTCACACTTACCTGGGTGCACAAAAGTGCTATTGTTTGCAATATCCAGGAAACACATTAGAACGCTCTGTGTGTGAATATGGTGCATGCGTGTGCAGCTTTCAACTTGATTAACTAGCTTTGCACAAATTATAATCATCAGCAACCACTTTTCTTATAAGAATTCACCCTGCTCTTTCTCTGACCTCTGTTTCTCTTTTTCTCAGGAGAGAAGAGCAAGTCTGTGGAGATGGAAGATGTGAAATTTCATCAGTGTGTGCGTCTCTCTCGCTTCGAGAATGACCGGACTATCTCTTTCATCCCACCAGATGGAGAATCCGAACTCATGTCATACAGACTCAACACCACGGTCAGTGCTGCATCTACACTAGTCTCCGATCAATGAGTTTAGATATATTTTGTCAAAGATAGATATTGTCATAATAATGTTTAATAATTTAGAATGTCAATGTTTATCACGTGATTAATGCAGGTGTGAATGCATTATAGTTTTTTTGTGCCATTGTAATGACGAGGTCTCAGAGAGCTTTAATTAAATAAAAACATACAAGAATCAAAGAATGCGAATATGATGAGAAAACAAGAAAGGAACTTCAAAGCAAAACCCATACAAAGAATTTGAAATTAAAAGAATTTGAACTTGAAAGAACAAAACAAAAACATGAAACAAAGGTTATGTTTGGAATAGCATAATACTCTTATTATTTCTGCAGTATATGCCGTGTAAAGCATTCAAATTGATCTTCTACTTCAAGTGTGACTGTGTGAGCAATAAACTGCAAGTAGTTACACTACTTTTTTTTACTCATAATTTGCTCATTGTTTAAAGAGATTTTTATGCAAAATTGCTTTAAAATTTAAACGTTTTTTATTTCAAAGATGATAACTGACAAGATAGTCTATACATACAATATATATACAAACATAAAAAATTTTGGGAATTTGTTACTACAAAAAAAAACTATTTTTTTTATGTTTTTGAAAGAAGTCTCTTTTGCTCACCAGGGCTGCATTTATTTGATCAAAAATACAGTGAAAAAACTAATATTGAAAAACTTATAAAAATAAGTGTTTTCCTTTTGAATATATTTTCATTTATTCTTGTGATGGCAAAGCTGAATTTTCATCAGCCATTGCGCCAGCGTCATTTCTTCCGTGTCACATGATCTTTAGAAATCATCCTAATATGCTAATTTCGCGCTCAAGAAAAATGTCTTATTGTTTTCAAAGTTGATGTTATGCTGTTGGAAAGTATTACTGTATTTAATTTATTTAAGAAGATTACATGTCAAAAAGGCAAGTCAGTGGCTCAATAAGTGTCAGCGGACTCACTGCTCTCCTGTCACTCCTCTGTCCTGACAGGTGAAGCCTCTGATATGGATTGAGAGTGTAATAGAGAAGTTCTCTCACAGTCGAGTAGAGATCAAGGTTAAGGTAGAGTTGCACACATAAACACAATCTACACACTCCACTGATTCTTGCTCTGCCTCCTCCAGCACACTCCCTGGTTTCAGTAATTAGCTTTCAGGCTTCTGTCCTGAGGAATGGCTCAGAGTTTACCTGAGCTGTGTCCAAAGACTTGTCAGATTCTGACATAAACATGCTTTGTCCTATTGCCTTTGCCATACTGAAACTTTACTTTCTGAAAGTGTACTTTGGAAGTTTTACTTGGAGTGTGAAGTTGTGCTATTGTTCCTCCATCTGTTCTCCAGGCCCGCAGTCAGTTCAAGAGCCGCTCCACTGCCAACAATGTGTCCATCTTAGTTCCTGTTCCAAGTGACGCTGACTCCCCCAAATTTAAGACCACCACAGGCCAGGCTAAATGGGTTCCTGAGAAGAGTGCGGTAGAATGGAACATTAAGTCCTTCCCTGTAAGTACCATACATATGTTTTGCAGGATGTTGGAGATCTTTGTGTTGCTGCAAATCACTGCAAGTTATTTGATCTATTTTTTAGATAAAAAACAAACAGATAATTCATCACCTCACATTTTTGCTGATTTCACAGAGAGTACGTGTACTAAATTAATGTAAATGTAATGTATATGTCCTCTATAATCGAAGGCAAAAGCCCATAAAAACAATACAGAGAGTGAGAATGTATGCAAAATAAACACAAATAAAGTGTTTTCCAAAGGAGCATGTATTTGCTTGCCAAAGACATCAAACATAGTACAAGCAAAGACATACTAAATTAATAATTTCGTGCCTTATCCTTACCATTAGAAAGTTGAAAAAACAGATTTTTCTCTAAGAAGACAGACATGTGGGACATTTAGGCAAGAATGTTTTTCAAATCCTGATCATGTCTTTGGTGTTTGAGGCTTTTAAGGCTAAAGTCAGTCCTGGAGTTTTGTGCTGTGGCAACTTTGAAAAGAAAGGAACCATGGCTCAGAAGACTCATTTAGAACCGAACTGTTAATTAGGACTGATTACTGAAGTGAGGATTTTTGTAATGTTAATTACTAGACAGTTGATGTGTCAAAAACTAATGATGTGTCTTTACTCGTTGAAGGGCGGGAAAGAGTTCATGATGCGAGCTCATTTTGGACTGCCAAGTGTGGAAAGTAATGAACTCGAGGGCAAGCGACCAATCACAGTGAAGTTTGAGATTCCATATTTCACCGTGTCGGGCATTCAGGTGCAACACACATTCACCTCACAAAATATTCTTTGATAATTGTCTCTATGCGGTAGACTTAATTTTATTTACCAACACAGGTGCGATACTTAAAGATTATCGAGAAGAGCGGATACCAGGCATTACCGTGGGTGCGTTATATTACTCAGAGTGGAGGTGAGACACATTCAGAAATTCCCTTACACACACACCGTCATTCGCTTTCTCAAATATCATTCTGATATAAAGTTTACCTTCACCCTGCATTAAAAGTTCAGTGAACATGAGCCTTACTCTGTCTTCTGTCTCACACACACACACAGTTTGAAATAGTGTAGACTATCAGCTTTCCATTTGCATCAGCGACACCAGAGGAGAGAGTCACTCTAATCCTTCAGCCCTCTTCACTTATTCATAAGAAATGCAGAGCAGACATCAAGCCACAATAGAATTCTTCAGATATATCCAAACACCCAAATGTCAATAACACATTAAAATGCCCTTAAATATAAATTGACTATAAAAACAAGTACATGAAAGTTTGAGTTGTGCTTTTCTGACTTTGCTTGAACATTTTTGACAGATTATCAGCTGAGGACCAACTGAGAGAGGACAGCGCCTGTGTATGTTGTGTGTTCTGTCTATCCTGTTTCATCAGCAAGACAACTACTGCCTTACACACAGCAGTCAGGCGGCGGTTCCCTCCCGATTGCTTTTGTCCGAGATCAGGTTTTACAAATTAAACAAGTCAGACCGCAAAGTTACTGAGAAAAACAATTGATTTTGGATTATAATCCAGAGGTCGTGTTACAGAAGCATCCTAGAATCTACCTATACATGGTCTATTTAAAGAGATTTTTGTAAATGTATTTCTTCTATTTTAACGCAATCAATTTTTTGTCCATACAATAAAAGTCAGTAAGGTCCAATGTTGTTCATATTTTGGACCCCATTGGCTTTCATTATAAACAAAAGCAGTTGAAACATTCAAAATATATTCCACAGAAGAAGAAAAAAATCACAGGTTTAGGGTATTATCGTTAACTAAAATTAAAACCATAAAAAACATTTTCATTACTTGACTAGAAATAAAATATAAAAAAACTTAAACTTATTTTTATTTCAGCTAGTTGCAAAGGAAACATTTATCATTTTCATTTAATTTAAGTTGAAGTACCAGAATAATTAAAACTAAATAAACTAAAAACTAAATAAATTAAAAACTAAAACTTAATAGCATCCATAGACATACTTAAAAAAACACTCCCCCTTTATATTAGGTGTCTTTAACCACTATGTACTAACATTTAAATGAATAATTTGATACAATGCACTGATTATGTACATAAATGTTTTACACTGTACTTATATGAATTACCTGAATGTAATTATATCTGTAATTACATATAATTACACTGTTTAGTTAAGAACACAATGTGACAAAAAAACTACTAAAAATTACCAAAACACAACAAAATGACTTCAACTAAAATGAAAATAAAAAACAGAAAAAAACAGAAAACAATGACACTAAAATATCACTGTACAGGTTCTGAACGACATGAGGGTGAGTAAATGATGACATCATTTTGGGTAAACTATCTCATCAACTTGTTAGATGTTAACTTAAGCTGCTTATTTTCATTTCTGCTGTAGGTGGAGGGACTATCTCTCAGTGTGATATGATCTTATGTCTGTGGAGCTGTAAACACAACCACAGGCCCAATGAAATGAATACCTTGTTCTCAAAATCAATGATTAATAAGGCTGCGTACTGTTAGGACAGCACAGTAACACTATATTTTCACCACAGTGGCTCGTATCTTCATCTTTGGTTTAGGTTTGTTTGTGCTCACTTAAAATACCACAAATGCCTAGATACTTTTAAAGGTAAAATAAAAAGTGGAAATGCTTAATGGCATTACCATGAACCTATAGCAGCAAATAACTCGGCTCCATATTGATGCTGGATTAATTATGATTGTTTGTTTCTTTAATCCACTGCAGTCAACACATCTGATCACACACAATTTTTTTGTATGTCATTGTACGTGTTCACACTGGGAAAATCCTCCCCGATTTCCTTTCATTCGGCATGCATTGCACTAGTTGTTTTATCAGTGCGTCGTGTGTGTGTGTGTGTGTGTGTGTGTGGAATACTGTCTGCCACCGCTGCAGAGGCAGCAGAATATATTATTTGTCATGTCAAAACAGCTTCCTCCCTCGTTTATATACCAAAGGTCAATGGTGTGACAATATCTGATATTTATTTCACACTGAATCTGAAATATGTATTTTTGATCGTTTTTTATTGACAACTTTCTTTGCTCAATTGTTATACTATACTAAAGGTCATTGTGAAAATAAATGGATTTTTGTTTTGGCTAGCATTTTTGTGATTATTTTCTGTGCTGTGTGGAAAGGCTATTTTTTTGTTTATTCACTGATGGATATTCCAGCTATTGAAATAAATTGCTGTTTTATGCAGTGGTATGGGTGTTGTACGCATTGCTTTTTTTGCACGCCTTATTTCTTATCAGTCTCAACACATTACAAGCCGATAGATGGGTGACAATGGGTCACAAAGTCAGCTATTGTTTACATGGTGACTGAGCAGCTGTTGCACAATAGTCAGCTTGTTGTGGATAAGAACAGGCATTGCCCAACACGACCCAGCCACCCATGATTACGGTCTCCCTCAGCCCATTACTGGCCCTTTCAGAATTTACTTCTGTCTTCACAGGACAGGGTATGGATGATTGACTCAGCTGCATGGTTTCTCAAACACAATTCCTCAAACAAGAGGGACCAAACTAAAAATATTTAAACCAGCCAGTAGCTTTCTGTTATTTAAATATATATTTAAATAATACATAGTAGTGATTTGCAAAATAAAGGATTGCTTTGCGAATAGAACAGTTAGTGATGAAAAAAAACATTTCATCACTTCACCTGTGTCCAAGACATGCGGCCGGAGGTCGGATGAAACAACCACAAAGTTGATCATCGACCTCCGGCCTAGGGTGTCCTGGTGCCACGTGCACTGATGGACACCCTTATGCTTGAACATGGTGTTCGTTATGGACAAACTGTGACTAGCACAGAAGTCCAATAACAGAACACCGCTCGGGGTTCAGATCAGGGGGGCCGTTCCTCCCAATCACGCCTCTCCGGGTTTTACTGTCGCTGCCCACGTGGGTGTTGAAGTCTCCCAGTAGAATGACGGAGTCCCCAGTCGGAGCACTTTCCAGCACCCCTCCCAGGGACCCCAAGAGGGCCGGGTACTCTGCACTGCCATTCGGCCTAGGGATGTGCACGAATATTAGAATTTTCGAATATTCGATCTGTAATTATTATTCGAAAAATAAAATACTATTCGAATTTTATCGAATTTATGAAGCCGTAGCCTAAATGCTTTGCTGACCGTAAATGCAGTGAATCCCTGATAAATCCCAAGCACTAACTCGCAGTTATAACTAAATCCTCTGGGTGGCGCTGTGGTGCGTGTTTAACAAGTTGTTTGTATTTGATCACATAATGTCGTCGTCGTCTGCCTCGCGAAGTTTGGAATTAGACTACTAGTTGAAAATTATGTTACTAAAAATGATCTTACAGAAGGGAATTACTTTTGATCAAATGAGTTAATTAATCTGAGTAATAATATCATCAACACAATGAGAAATCACATGAAATCCAAACAGCAGGCGACTGAGGAAAGACAGCTGTCCATCACTACGACTGCAGGTAAGCGCAGCTGTAGCGCGCGTGATCCGAGAGATGATAACGTCTCTGGTTACTCACGTAACCGTAGTTCCCTGAGAGGAGGGAACGAGACATTACGTATGGGGAAATCCATTTTCCTCGAATCATGAAGTCTGATAGAATAACTCTTTTGCTTGCAAATAGCCAATGGCGGTCCCGCCATCACCTGATTGGCTGACACTGCTCAATATAGGTGACGGCGGGCGCCAAAAACCTCAGAATCTTAGCTGAACGAGAGTAAGGAGACTGAGAGTCCCTCCCACACGGCAGGTTACGTAATGTCTCGTTCCCTCCTCTCAGGGAACTACGGTTACGTGAGTAACCAGAGACGTTCCCTTATCGAGTCGGTCTCTCGACATTACGTATGGGGAACAATAAAAACCCCGCCGCGTGGGAGAAACCACGCCCAGCTCTCAGGAACAGACACCGGACCTGGTTGAAACATCTATTGGCACAGAGCCAACTCGGCATCTGCACCAACGAAGGCCCCTCCCATCAAGCTAAGCACGCTGAACTGAATGGAGGGAGATTGCAGCAAAGTGATTGGTGCTTAGGAAAATACTGCCGGCTATGAATGCGGACATAACAAAGGGCACAATATAGTGAACATGATAGCTATGCTAATAATAACTCGCACTGTCTGACGACTAGTCGAACCGTGGCTAGAGCGCGCGCCATCGGGGCAGTCTAACCTAGTCCAACGACAGCTCAGCTTTCTCTCCCTGCACTGACAGACATGTGGTTGGAATGAAGGGATATTCAAGTTATAGAATCTCGCAAAGGTATTACGAGACGACCAACCTGCCGCGAAACAAATGTCTTGAATAGACATGCCTTTCGCCCACGCCCATGATGACGCCAAACTCCTAGTGGAGTGGGCGTGCACCCCTATAGGGAAACGGCTTCCCGGGAAGCATAAGCCAGCCAGTGCACAGCCTCCACTATCCAGTGAGATAGCCTCCGTTTCGACAGCGCGCCGCCTCTTAGCACCCGCGTAGCAGACGAAGAGCTGCTCTGAAGTTCGAAACTGGCTAGTTCTGTTCACATAAGCACGCAGGGCACGCATGGGGCACAAGCGTACTTCTGAGACTCTGAAACACTGACCTCATCCGGGCAAAATGCTGGAATTGCAACCACCTGGGCTCTGATGAATATACGCAGTAGATAATAGCCCCATAATAGCATAGCACCTCAGTAAACAACAAACACATAGCCGTAGCTACAACTGTGAGTAGACGAGTTAGCACAGAATAGCCAGTTGTTCTGAAGGAAACGGGGCAACATAACAGCATAGCACATGTAAGTAACAGCATCGGTCGCTGTAGCGCATCCATGCATGTACATAGCGCAGCATAAGTCGCCGTAGCGACAGAACTGCGTAGAGACAGAAACTGAGATGTACAGTTCGATCAGGATGGCTAGCTGCACGGAAACGGGGCAGCATTACAGCATAACACATGGTAAATTGCACATCCGTGTACGTACATACATTCAGAAACTGTGAGTATGCACAGTAGATTAAGATAGCTAGTTTTGCACTGAAAGAAACAGAGCAACAAAATAGCAACACGCGTCCTTATACGTACATAAGTGCAGTGTAGTCGCTGTAGCGACAAACTGAATATGCAGTTAGATAGGATAGCTGGTTGTTGCACTGAATGATAGAGGGCAACATAACAGCATAACACATCAGTGTGCACATTTTAAACATCTGTGTATAATGCAGCTCAAGTTGCTGAAGCGACCGAAACTGCATGAAAATGCGTACACAATGGTCCATTACATTGAAGGGCAGCATAACGCTTCAACACAGATGCAATGCAAGTCGCCGTAGCGACGACTGAGACTATGCACAAGCATAGTTACATTTTTGTGTACAAAAAACACAGCGTCAGAGGCATAGCGACATCGACTGTAAATACGTAGTTAATCGGAATAGCCGGCTGCACTGAGGATACAGGGCAACATATAACGGCATAAATCATAGACACATATCAATGTACATAACACAGCGTCTGTGGCATCGCGCAACAACTGTGACTACACAGTAAAAGAGTAGCCAGTTGCACTGAAGGATACAGGGCAATATATAGTGGCGTAATAGTTACACATATCAGTGCGTTGTGTGTACACAGCGTCAGTTGCATCGTACAACAATTGTGAATACGTAGTGATCAGAATAGCCATTTGCACTGAAGGATAGGGCAAAATATGACGGCATAGATCATAACACATATCAGTGTGTAGTGTGCACAAACACAGCGTTAGTTGCATCGCACGACAACTATGAATACGCACTGCGTAGTAATCAGGATAGCCATTTGCACTGAATGACACAGGGCAATATATAATGGCATAAAACATTACACATAACAGAGTGCGGTGTGTACGTAACACAGGCTCCTTCCCCGCCAGCAAGGTGATGTTCCACGTCCCTAAAGCCAGTTTCCGCGTCCAGAGATCGGGTCGTCGGGGCTCCCGTCTTCGAATGCCGCTCCAGCAGCCCGTCACTCATTCGGGCTGAGTCCGACCGGACCCCATGGGGCCAGCCCCGGCCATCAGGTGCTCGAATGCGAGCCCCAACCCCTGGCCTGGCTCCAGAGGGCCCGGCTGCGCCATGCCGGACGACGTCTCGGTCCTTGATTTTTCTTGCATCATATTGGGCTTCTGAACCGCTCTTAGTCTGACCCGTTACCTAGGAACCTGTTTGCCTTGGGAGACGCTACCAGGGGCATATAGCCCCGGATAAAATAGCTCCCAGGATCGTTCGGGTACTCAAACCCCTCCACCACCAATTTCAGAATAGGAAACTGGTATTTTACGATAATTCCGATAGCATGTGAGGCAGCAGGTGTCCTAGCAGAATAACCACTGGTGTAGCTCATTACATTTACTATACAGACATAATACTAACGTGAGTTTCACAATACTTTAAAAAAAAAATCTTTTAAAACCCTTTTTCTAATTGCTTTGTTTGAAATACCATTTGGTTTGATATTTTGGTTATAAATATACTGACATTCGTATAAATGTAGCTTAGGTGTGTCTGAAGTTTAATGTTGCTGAAATGCTTTTCTGAAGTATTTCTCCAAAGATGTCAAGACGGCAGAGCCTGAATGTTTGTTTATTATGCGTACAAATTGAAATAGATTTCCACTAAATGGCTACAACCTACCATCTGTTTATCTCCATCTGCATGTGAATGTTTTTCATAAGCCCTTCAGAACAAAATACCAATAATTTGCATCAAAGTGTAAATCAACTTCAGTGTATTTCTACAATCAAAATAGCCCTCTTTATTTGGTGGAAAATTTTTAAAAAGATAAGAAAACTGTGCTCACATCCTCCAGATTGACATTATGATCTTTTATTTGATCCATAGTTTCGCCTGCACAGGTTGCAAAATGACAGGCGGTCGATTCACGCACACACACACACACACACACACACACACACACACACACACATACATATCAGAGGCGCTGAAAAGCTGAAGACATCTCCAGATGGACAATCACTTGGTATGCTCACCTTTGCTCGCATAAATGAAGCCATCACACATACACACACATAATATATTGTAGTCGTGCAATAGCATTGAAAAGAAAGCAGCATATTTTACCTAAAATCATTTCATTAAAGATCAAACTTTAGATTGTTTTTGTGCTTTTTCAGTACTTTTTACTGTACTTTGTTGGAGTGAAGAATATAAAAGATGAATGTGCTTAAACCCTCAAAGGTTTAATGTCTGAAACCTTGAGCCAAAATGTAAATCAGTTTGTTGTCACATGTGATTTGTGCCTTAGTTTAATAAGTGCAAAGTTTCTTTGAGAGCATTTTAGTTCCTGTTCAGTAAAAGAATGGCGTATTTATTTAGTAGCCACGGTTATATCAGATGAGCCAGACTCGAAGCAGTCTCTCTTCTCCTTGCCTGCATCTGGCCTGAAATGCTGAAGATCCCCACTGTCCTCTCCCACCGTCTCTGTCCCTGCCCTGTCCTCTCTAAGAGAAAAACTACTGCGGCATAAACGCTGACCACTAACACTGTGAAACTCCCACCCACCAGCATCACCACCCCAGATATAAACATGTCATTCAGCGCCTTGCCCGGTTTGGGCATGTGGTAGGCCAAGGCCACGTCTAGGAGCACAGCTCCACAGATGAGTAGAGAGATTCCTGTGATCAACATGATGAGGACATCAGATAAACCGCCGCTTTTTAGCATGTTGATCCGGCGCCTGCTGCGCACGCAGTTCATGTCCTGGACAGCGGAGCTCAGCAACTGCTTGAGGAGGACGGCCAGAGCGAGAAGGCAAAGAGTGGTTCCGGCGCCCAGCCGCCACTCGCTGGAAAGGCTGGTGGTGGTGGAAAGAAGGCCTACGCCACCCAGTCCGCAACCTAAGATCAAGGCCACTGAGGCGCAGTAGCATAATAAGGATTTGCGTGGCTCATTGAACCACCAGAGCTCCACCTGCTCCTCCAGGAGGTTCTGCTGGATGCGAGCCGGGTCAGGATGGGGTTGGCCCCTCGGAGGGGAATAGTCCTCCAGCTCTGACATGATGTTTGCTGCTAATGGTGCTCAGGACAGGTCCCAACTGTGAAAGGACACCTGGCTAGAGTTCCTGGAGAAAACAAGTTGGAAATTAGGTAAGAAGATGCCATGTGTACAGTTGACAAAACCTGACAAAAATCCTGTTCAATTCACAATAAGAAATTCACAGTGACAATGTTTCAGGCATTATGTAAATTAATTTTGGCCTGTATATTTTACAGTTCATAACTGAATATTTCATTATCATTGATATGCTGTAATAAACCAACCTACTTGAATATAAAAATCTGAATTTCAACCTTAAAATACATACTACTGATATAACCACCATAAGAAAAAAACAAGTAGTAAAATAGAACAACGTCAAAATGCCATGCCATGGCAAATTGTCAAAATGCCATCATGCATATCAAAAAAAAAAAATTATATAAGCAATAAGGTACGAGAGGCTGTGCTGTATCGTAAATAAGTCACGGCTGAAGGGCGTTGGCACGATGTGAAGCCGAGTAATACAAATATACACACACACACACACACACACACACACATGTATATACATATATTTTAATACAAATATTAAAGCCAAAAAATATGTATCAATGTAACTTTCATGAAGTAAAAAAATTAAAAGCCTTCCTTCCGCTGGAAAAATAATCCCTGACCGAATGAATAAATGAATCATTTTTACTGCATTAAAGCTGCAGTCCGCAGCTTTTCCTCTTTGTCGCCATCTCTGTTAGAAATCTGCAATTGCAGTTATTCGCATAATTATCAACTTTACGTGAGTTGTACTTCGACACCCTCGACACGGCACAGCGCGGATGAACACAATGTTTGAGGAGACTGTGTGGCTGTCAATTACCGCGCCGGTGTGGATACTGGCATTCAGAATCACAGATTATTCTTTTTGAAAGTATGACCAACATAAGAATTTTCACCGGAAAATGTCATCTGAACAAGTAAGAAACATCCACTTTTGTTCTGGTTCTGACATTGCAGTCAATCGCGCTGAATCGCTTATCATATCACGCAAAACCGTGCAAATTATACTTTGTTCTCAAATTGTTAATGTTAACAATGTCAGTATTGCGTGACTACATGTAATGTCCTTCCGATATGTATTCTTGTTTTGGCATGGGTCCGGTTGCAGTCTCTTTTTTTCTGTAGCCACTCCGAAGTCCGAACGAAGTCTTTTGCATTTTACAGCGGGTGAATCTGTTGTCACTGGTGATTGTCGTTTGAACCTTTCTGGATCCGCCATCAAATTGGTAAGTTTAATTATATCAAGTGCTGTGAGAAAAGGCTATAAATCTCCACCTCCAACATCCTCACACGCAATATAGCCGACTAGCCGAGACTCCTTCTTATGTGTACAGATGTGACGTAATGACGCAAAGGCTTGAATCTCCCGCGGAAATCCACCAGTACCACTGGAATTAAAAACACAAGCTTACCGCTTTGAATCAAGCTAAGGCAAGCAGATAGTTTTGAATACTGTCTGGTTGTGTATTTTCTCAAATATGTATTTTGGATAATTTTTAACCCAAAAAAAGCTACGGACTGCAGCTTTAAATTATATTTAACCAATTAACAGGTTTTTACTTTAGCATTATTACATTCTTTTCCCATTCAAAATTATTATTTTTTTGTACAGATTTTTCAATTCAAAACAAATCATCTGTGACTCAACTGGACTGAAATCATTATCAAAGATTAAAAAAAAATGTTTAAGTTCCTTCTTGCCTTGGAAATCTGAGGTCACATGCGATCAAAAGCACCAGACAGAAAAAGGGAAATGAGGTATGTTAAACTGCACATCATTCTCCCCACTCCCCAAAATATGCAAACTTTTACAGAACGTTGCAAATATTATGTTAATTATTCAGAGTGGGGTTTCAAAACACCATTCTGGAGTCAGACCAAGCTGCTTAATGATTAAAACGCAGCTTTATTTATAAAGATTTTCTTAAAATCAATTTATGATGTAGTCAAACAATGAAAACCAGGTTTAATTTAAACACTTGTGTTTAGTCTAAAGCCTGTTAATGTGCCTGGGGATGACCACGAGGAGGTGTGTAGAGAGATAATAAAGATTTAAAGTAGTTAGAGAAGACAATTTCCCTCCTGCTCAGGGGCTCAAGCCTTAATTCCTTTACAAATGGCCTGTCTCTGTGGTCCCAGTGACCCTCAAGGTTGCAGGACAGACAGCTTGTCTTTACAATCCCGTAAGTGGCTTTGCCTTCACAGTCCGCACTGCTGCACCAGCAAACTACATTGCATACATTATAATCACAGACCAAGACAAACTCTATTTCTCTTTATCCAGGACCAGTGTCATTATTCTGCACTGTTTGTTCAAAATCAGTCTCCTCCCACATGTGAAGCCAAAGGGGTTGTGTACATGTACGTTTGTGAAGCTTTGCTAATTAAGTCCCTGTGGAGTCTCATGTCACTGACATACTGCTTCCCTGTGACTGAGGTGAGGCATGACGAGGGAAAAGTAAAACAAGAAAGCCCATGAAAACAAAAACACCAAAGTCCATTCTAAGATTACAATGATTGTCAGAGATAAATCACCTAAATTGAAAACTTGTGTTATTATATACTCTCAGGTCATTCCAAATCCATATGGATCCTTGTTTGGAATTAAAAAAAGATTTTAAAGAATAATAATAGTCACTTTTTTCAAAACCATTATAAATGGGGACTTTCAAACTAAAAAAATAAAAAAAAATGAAATAACCATACAAGTATAATACCGTAAAAGTGGTAAATATGACCTGTGTGTTATATTGTGTCTAAATCTTATGTGTGAAAAACAGACCAAAGATTAATTTAGTAACTGAAAATCATGTCTTGGCTCTTCTTGAAACGCGAAGGTCAAGATCTTTTCAAAGAATATGTTGATCCAGTTCACAAAACCAGTCTGAATGATTTGTTCATTCATCAAATTCATCCACTTCTTGAGTTCAACTCACTGATTCATTCCGTGTTTATCTTCACTGGAGGAGAAGATTATCAGTAATCAGAGTAACAACTTAAATTTTGGTCTGTTTTACACACAAAGTTATAGTCATCGGAAGTAGGAAGACTTTGAATATAGTCAAATGGACCACTTTATCATGCTTTTATGGAGTTTTTGAAAGTCAAAATTTGGGTGCTATTCCTAAAATAATTAATAATAATGTTAATGTTTCTTTTACTGCTGCCCAGAAAGCAAAAATGACATCAAACACAGCACTGTATTATGTCTGCATTCCCAGTTGTTATAGACATATGGCAGTTTAACCTGCATACCTGGTATGAGAGCTCTTCAATCCTAAGTAGACTCAGTTTTTTTAATCTTTTATCAAAATATGAACGTCATCTTGGATGAGTGCCTTATGTTACAGTAGAAGTGTACTCACCCTAAAGAATTATAAAGTATCTGCGATGAGAATGTGCCAGTTTATCATTCACTGGTGGATTCGCTTTCAGTCATTTCCCCCAACAGAGTGCGGGGAGAGAAAGGACAGCAAGGAAATGTCCTCACCTCAAATCACCTCAGGGTTGGGACTTGCTTATTATTGGTGTCCTTCGCCTTAGCTTATACTTTAAAAAATAATTTCTAATAATATACTGACTTTCGATTTTGATTTGCAGCGGCTCCTTGGAAAGTTTTCCTCTTTAGTTTTGTGATGTCACTGACAGGATCAGTCCAGACTCCAGAGTATATTTATAAGATTGGCCGCATGAACACAACTAGGCCGAGCAGAAAACTGAAAGTGTGCAATTGTTAGTTTTAATTTGTAATTATTATTAGTCAGATTCCTTTAGGCTGACATGGCGTCGATGGAAAAACGGCTGATCTGTCAGTATAGTGGCCTTGGGGCTGGACAGCCGTCCAACTTAGCCCTCGATTTAAAAAAAACAGTCCACAGTCAGTTTGCCTGCAAGGTCTCTCTGAGGTTATTTCATAGGCAAAATGTCCCTAGCTGTCAATGCATGAGTGATCCACCAGGACAGAGGTATTCAGCTTTAGTAGCCTCCTGACAGTGTTCCTCCTCCTCTTTCTTTGCTCATGTTGCTGTTGGCTATTGAAGTTTGGCTGTTTTCTTGAAGATTTAGAGCAAACGGCATCTTTCCCGACAGGTGTGAATGCTGAGCATTGTGGCAGGCCAAGCGCACTATTCATTCTCTAGTCAAGCGGTACACTGTTGTATCTCTGACTGCAAGTCTCTGATGTATCTGCTAAAGAAGCGTTCATAAAGCAGGCTCTTGTCTTGTCTCCGGTCACCATGCAACAGCTGATGCCTTGTCTAGCATACTCTTCTCTGCCTGGTTGCTAGACAAAAACAATGGAGCAAGTCTCCGTGTCCTTCTCCAGGCCAGGAGGAAACAGGTCACTATCTGTGTGGAGACAAAAGAAGCAAAGAATGCCAGCTTGATAGGAAGGGGATGTGTAAAGGATATGCAGTATGTCTAATTCATCAAAAGCAAATTGCTTTTGATTGTTAAGGGAGGAAACTGCTGTGAAGATCTGAGCAGGGGTGGAACTTGCCTTTTCCATATGGGGGTAACAGAACAATCTTTGCGGCAAGGTGGAACTGGATGGAAAATGTCCAAAAAACCTTCATGAAATATATATATTTTTTTCCATAGCCATGTCTGCTAACTTTACCCATTGAAAGCTCACTATATATTAGCTCCTAAGCACCATTTTCAGGCCTCATACAGTAAGTGCACACTCGCCACGATGTTTGTTTCAAAAAGAAGGGAATTTAATTTCGTTGCCTTCTAAGATACATCAAATAAACCACATTCCAAGTCAACACTGCATGTGTCCTTCACGGAGTTATCAATCCCATAATACACTGCAACAAGTTCAGTGAAAAACTAAATCCAAGATGGTGGATGAAGTGAGAGAAATGTTAACTCCATCCGAATTAGCATACTTATATACCCAGCTAACAAAAATATGGTCAAAGAACTTTTTGCTAACATTCCCATTAAGTTTTGAAAATTATACTTCTGAATGTTCTCAGAATGTTTAAAACGCTGAGTTTTAAATGTTAGCTGTATCCGAATATCCATACTTCCCTACTATATACCCAGCTAACACAAATATGTTCAAAGAACTCTAAAGGCCAATTAACACCGCACAGACAAACGGCAACAAACACCAACAAACAAGTTGGCAGTTGGATTTAAAATTTTATGAAATAACGGTCATGTTCACATTGCCCCAACAGACACCAACAAACACTGATTGACCATGGTCAGTCAGGTGAAAACAAACTCTGTCTGAGCGAAGCCAACAGACGCCGACAGGGGTACTGATCAGATAAAACCCAACAAACCTGTTTTTGGGTGTTTGTCTGTGCGGGGTGAATTGGCCTTTAATTTCACTCATTAGTATTAAATAAGTTGTTGTTCCATACCTGAAAAGGAGGGAATGAATCACAAAATATTTGGTATACGATTTGGGTTCTGGAGGGCCAAGAGTGTGTTGTTAATGTTATGCTTCTTGCAGCCCCTCTCTCCTTCTTGCTTAATCCACATTTTATCAGCCTGCACACATGGCTCAAGTTACTGTCAGGCATAACCTCAGGAACAAACCGCAAACAGCAGCTGGCCTAGACCCTGCCTTTAAAGCTGTATAAACCACCCTTGATTTTTCACCCCTAATCTCTTATTTCAACTGAGAAATCCTCACTATTTCTCTGTTTCCGACTCAATTTCAGTATCTTATCTGTCTCTTTTTTTCATATGTTGCACTGCCGTTCTGGTGGCTGGGGAGGGATAGCCTTTTTGAAAAGCACAGCTCTGGCTCCCAGTGCTCTTTCTTTTCATCATAAAAGTTAACATATGTCATGTACCTTATTCCATCTTTTCAGTGGTGTCATTACATCCTCTTTTTCCATCAGTACACTTTCCCTAAAGAACACTCCTTCATTCCAACCCTTCACTGCAGCTTACCGCCACGTTCGTAGAAGGAAACAGAACACAAAATGACATTATAAAGACAGATTACTCAATCTTACTCTGCACAAAATCTCAATGTTCTCTATGTATGATTAACTCAACAACAATAGACCTGGTATGGCTTTTATGGGTGTGTAATAGCGTAGAAACAACATGAGTCATATTTCTCAGTAAAGACTGGAATACAATACACGATTTTTGCCCCAATTTGCAGTTTGGACACGTCAATGCTACTTGCCAAAAGTCAGAGCCAGTATGCAGATTTTGGGTAGTGTAAAGTCTTGAATACAGTACACGACTTTTAAAATTGAAAAAATATTTTAAAACACTAGCGACTTTGTAAAAGGTTACAGAGAAAAACTGTGCATCCTAGACTAAACAACTGAGGATCACACACTCAGATTATCAACTCACACAGAAGCATGCGCCTCGGCTCAACCCCCAAACCGGCTCAAAATATCAAACATGTTTGATATCCTCCGAGTGGATGGAAGCTAAAGTCTGAAGCTACAAAATTGGAGTCTATGCCCATCATACACCACTATTTTATGCAAAATCTGCCAACTCCGATCTGCAGACTGGCTCTAACTTTGAGCAACAAGCATTGACTCTTCTGGACTGCAAATTATGGCAATAATCTGTGCAAAAAATAGTGTATTCCAGCCAAAAGTTGACAGATGTTACAGAAAATGCAAACTTTAGCTTCAGACTGTGATTCCATCCAGTCAGAGGATATCATACTTGTTTCATATTTTGTTTTACACATATTGTTTTACTTTTTCATCCATCTCCAAGCAACAATTGCGTATGTTTCTGCATAATTGTTTGTGTTCAACACAACATGAAAGTCTGGTAGTGTGTGATCCTCAAACGTTTTTCACTGTAATCATTTACAAAGTCAGCAATTCCTAGTGTTTTCAAATCGGTTCACATTTTAAAAGTCATGTAGTGTATTCCAGCCTTAAGGGTGCTATTTTTTCTGGTAAGGTTCTGTATTCACTGCTGTTTGGTGCTTGATTTTCCTGTTTTGGGCACAGCTGCAATATTAAGCTCTAATTAAATCACCAATTAACAGGCCCGTCCACCCAGCTCCACACTGCTGACAAAAGGAAAAACGTTCACCTCTCTTCCCGCCTCGCCTACCTCTCTCCCTTTCATCCTAAAAACAGTGACAGCATCCATAATGTTCAGTTCTGGCCTCTAGGACAGTAAAACTGTGAGCATGGTCCATAATGCAATACAAAAGGGGCAACTATTCAACTTGGCCACTGAGCTCCACTCTGTGACCTGACCTCCATCTGTGACATAGAGACACCAGCCCGGTTAAGACACCTGGACCTACTCTTTCACTCTTTAGGGGCATGGTTTCATTCTCACTGGCTGTCTCTGTATGTGTCACAGAATATTCTGGAATATACACTCTCGGGATATTTGGATGTTGCTGAGTGCTGTCATGCACCTGTCGTTTTTAAAGATCTGTACGATCTCTGAGGAAAGGATGATGAGGAAGGAGCCTAGAGTGTGTTGGTTTGCTTGGCATCTGGAAGCATAACTTTGAGATTCCTTTCTTTCTCTGCAGATACATGTCAAAAAATCTCTATTTTAACTCCAAATATGGATGTTCATTCTTGATTTAAAAACAAAAATGGACTGTTAAATACTAGTAATGATATCAGATGGTGTTACCATGATGGAACTGAAAGAACATAGGCCTATTCATCTGCCATTGTATTTGCATTACATCCCTTGATACTTCAAAGAATGCCAAGGTAATACGATGTAACTTTGGTACTTTTCTAGAATTATTTGCAATGTTTATTTGTGCTACTTTCTTTGTCCTATTTTGTCATGTCTTTTACCGGATGGCTATAATATGTCATTGTATGTGCATGCTCAACAATCAAGTCACAATAAAACAATAAAATGTCATAAATGTCATTTTATTTTCTATCCATGACATGACATTTTATCAACACCTCCAGTGTAGCTGATACATCACATGTGAGCTGATGGTTCACATGTGTTAAATGGTAGAAAGAGCATTACCATGATTAATTACTATCTTTTTCTCCCTAAACTATTACCCTGTCACTGTAAAGCACTGTTCACACTCTGCATAGAAAGGGCACCTACAGTATTAAAATAATTTGCTTCACTTTTATTTTATGATACAGAACAATTTTAACTATACAGATGGGAGACATTACCTTTCTCTACTGTTACAGTTCTGCAGCTCCTCTTTAGTATTTTGCTCTCACTTGACTCATATTAGTTACTCTTTAAAGCACAATGTTCTTATAATGGACACTATAATGTCCACAATAAGCAATATCTGATCATTCTATTACTTCCTCATTACAAATGTCTAATACTGGACAAAATTGTTTTTGATTATATATGTTGCCCGCCGGTTTCTGGTGTTCTTCTACACAACTCAGAACACATTGAGTGAAAATTTATTTTGGTCAGCTCAGATATAAAATCAGAAATGGCAGCATGTGAGAATGACACTCCACACTTCTGAAACTAAATAAGTTGTATGTAGTTTGCATATTTGTCTAAAAGAATCAATTAATTACTTTTATAAGATGTGAAAAAAAGAAAGAAATGGCATGTCTACTGGATGTTTGTTTACATAACTGCAAAATGACTAGCCTAAAGTGTGTGACCTGCTCCAGGAAATAAATCTATGAATGTTGTTCATTAGTATTACTCACAAATGTTCTCAAGTAATTAGATTATAATGTTAAAAATGTATTAAAATGCATTATTAATTAGCCTATAAGAGCTAAGTTTAATAATTATTAATATTTTATCTGATAAAGCTGATGCAGTATATACAGCACTTTTTTTTAAAATCATGTAACACTGTTGAAAGCACTGGTGATTATTCATATATTTACATTTAATTTATCAGGATAATATATTATGTGTGTTTAAGTCCATATATCCAGTATATGGGTGAACAGTTACAATTACAGTGATATTCTGTATAATAGCTCTGGGACGCTTTACTGTTTTTATCACTCAGCTTGACTGAGTTTGAGACATCTGGGTGACATGAAATTGGGACCAGAAAAAAAAAAAACGTGTGAACGAAGTGACCAAATTTTGCCTATATTAAACACTCCAATCTCAGTCCTACTGTAGGAATATCAGCACAACATGTCCATATTGAGTACAGCACTCTAGCTTGTGCGATATTGGTTAATTTATTAGGCAATATGATTCCCTGTCAAAAAATAAATAAAAAAATTTGTTATTATTTTATATGCCGCAATTAAAAAAAATGAATAAATACACATTGTATGTTTCCCATTTCAGTGTATGCTATAAACAGATTTGAATATCAACCCTTCATGAATTGGTTTACAAAATGTCCTTTTGCACATGTTGAGACGATTTTCCAGAAGTGAAAGTCCTAAAACTCCAGTACAAAGTGTCCTGCGTTGCTCTATCAAGGTGTGGATCCTCTTATCCGTCTAATGTATAACAAATACATTTCTATTCAAACCTAAAAGAGTAGGAGGGCGTACATCAAAACGCTTCCGTTCTTACCTGCGATGCGCACCATCCCGAACCACATCAGCCACAAATATACACAGCAAGAAATATACACAGCCGGTCCGTCTGAGGGGGGAAACGCGCTCAGCGAGAAGAGACGTCAAGTTTAATGTAAGTCTCGCACAGTAATCCCGACCATATCAGGTTGTCATTGCGAATGGCGTTGCAGGTGCACTGCTCGTTCAGCCCGGACTTTTGCCCTCCGCTCGGAGGAGTGGTCTCTCCTCTCATTGCTACTCTGATCGCGGAGTTTGTAGTTCAGCTGGGGAGTGTGTGTGTGACCTCGCCGCTCCCCTCCAGTGGGACACCTGCAGCGATAAAGCGTCTTGTCCAACGGTCTGACGTTAAATGACGCCAATTGGAAACACCAAACAATTTTTCTGTATGTTTGTTCATGCTCCGTCGCGTTTCAAGCACTATCTGCGCGACAAAACGCGCTTACCTGGAAATCGTCGCGGAGTTACCTGCTCTGTTTGCCGGAAACCCTTGCATGACCAGTGCTTATGAATAGATCATTCAGGCTACTGATAGAATTGTGTTATTGAGATGGTAGTTTTCACAAGTAGCCTAATGGTGTTTTTTTTAAAGTCGTTGTATAAATCTTAATAATATTCAAAACTAAAGTTTATTTTTAATTGACTTTTATGGCCTATACACAATTTTTATCAGGCTACATGTAGAAATGTTTGCAATTCATTTCAGTCAACTTATGTGATAGGCCTATACTTAAAGTAGCAGATATTAATGCGAAAACAGGGCGGTGCTTAATTTAATCCACGGAGAATTGATCGGTCATAAAAAAATGACGAGGGGTAAAAATTGGTGGTGCTGCGAAAAAGTAAAGTTGTTTAAATGCTGAGAAAGTCATTAGGCCTACATTTTGATTGCAGTTTAAAAAATGCAAATCACAAGATTTGGAAGCGTGTATTAATAAAATAGGATAGACAGGCTATAGGATCAATTCTGAGTTCATGTTGACTTTAAAGTAATTGCCTTTTTATAATTGCATTAACACAAATTTTAATTTGCAATTAATCTGTTCTCATTAGCTACAGTATGATTAGGATTTAATCCAACTGATCTTGGATTGAACAGCAAATTATTTGATAGGCTATGCATATATGCCTATAGATTGGCCATTGGCCAGATAATTGTTAATTTGTAAATGCTAAACATCTAAATTACATGCCTTTTTTGACAGTTTATCTGATAATTGCAATTATTTACCATCTATGTGTGTGTGAGAGAGAGTCACAGAAACTAAATGGTCCATTCTCTTGTTCCATTAAGATGTATAAATGTTTTTTAAGCTCTAGTTTTTTTTTTTTTTTTTTTTACTTATTCATATGTAAGAATTATTCATTTCAATTTGATGGAATTTTACTATTAATTAAAAAGCGTTAAAAAAAAGAGTGCAATATTAGTATTGCTTCAGGAAAAATAAATTCTATAAATTAACTAAAATAACTTTCATTCCCCCCCAAGTTTGGCCCAGGTAGCACTAAATATTGCTTATCTGAAATGGTGACACCCAGTGGTTCAGTAAGGTGATACATTATACAAGCATCAGTCAATGTATATAGCCTAGGGCATGACGACAAACCACAGAAGACTGATTTCCCAGAAAATTCGCAATGAACAGACACATTGTGTGACACATTGTGGAATGTCTTCCTCCCTGTGCATCTAAGGTGTTGCCTATCATTTAATGACAACTGGTGTCTCAGTACAGTCAGAAAAGTGCACCAGTTTGGGTGTCTTCTTGAATCATTAGTCTCTTATTATAGTAATATAGTGCATGTTTGACAAACCATGTTGTTTTTTTGTTTGTCAGTCAGAGGTGTCCTATTGCACATATACAAAACATATTGCAACATATTGCAACACTCTCTCTTAGGACACTAAAATGTTCCTTCTTTATCTTGTGACAGATGTTGGCTTCGCCACCTCATGCTGCCTGATGTACTGGTCTTTTGGATCTTTGATGTTGTCCCTTAGTCTCTTGGGCTCTTGGGATGAAGCTTACATATTTATGAAGGTCATTCATGAACCTGTGCACTATAGTCTCTCTTCATCACGCTCCTGTCAAGGGAAGGAAAAGATACACACACACGCACTTTGTGCATCATCGGTGACGTGAAGTTTTGAGTGATGTTCTGCTCTTGGTGAGCATTTCTGTTGTGGAAAGAGTCCAGTTCTTGCTCCATCCACCTAGAGGAAAGCAGCCCAAGCATCAATCTTTTTCTTCAGCCATTAGTGCTGATCTATTCCCCCTCCGCCTCATCCCGGGTTCATTTGTATTCTAATTGCCAGGCCTTGAAGTGACATGCTACGTTCCGTACAAGGCTGTTTTCTGTCAATTCCATGCCAATATACGAGTGTAGTGCTGTCTTCAGCTGCTTTGATGTTAAATGTGGCATTTGAGCCTTAAGGAGGTCACATATATTTGTGTATATATAATATGTTGTGTATGGTGTTCAGTGGGAAATGAGTTAAGATTGAAATTGGACAAAATCACTTTTTTATATATATGTGTGTGTTCACACTTATATATATTGGAGGTACAGTCTCTGCAAAAACCATATCCTTTTTCTAGTCCTCATCAAACTGGTCCAACTCCAAATAAGACATGCATATTCCAACAAAACAGATCAGGAGTACAACACAAATCCTCTGATGGCTCGGGACTGGCTGGCCTGAGAGCGTTGCAGGCCAGTTCTCTGCCCAATCGCTCCATAAGCTTACGTTTATTGATTTACTTTTTCTCTGAACATTGCTTTGTTAATTTAGATGATGTAAAAATGTTACCCAGGTAACATCGTCTAGCTGGTTAACATACAATATTTTTGTGGAAATTACAAGGGTGAAATTGCTTGTCTTAGAAGCATCAGTTAGTGGATTGAAAATTATTACAAATAATTTTACTAAAAGTCTTGACTGGTGAAAAATCATGACAGGTCAAGTAATAATCTGAACTATTTGGCAAAACTGGGCCACCCAGAAGAAACACTTCTTGTTGTGCCCCATTTATGTTTTAGAAATGATCAATTATAGTCCATGACTTTGGATTTCTGTCTTTGATAACTGGCCTAATTTCATAGCCAATTATGTTTGTAGCTTTCTTCACTCAATGCAATTTCTACCCAAAGATGATAAAGCCCAGTCAAAGTCTGTGACATTTAAAAGACAAAGTAAATTTTCAATTTAGCCTATATGTGACACTGAGCACAGAGTGTGCTCTCTTCTTTCTCATAATGCTGATGATAAAATATGGCGCGTCTCTCGCAAGAATAGATGCATGCAGAGTGTCACACATCAGTTGCGACACATCAACAAGCTTGTGTCGGGAGTTATTATTCATGGACAGCGCTGTGGTTGATGTTGAAGGCTTTGAGGAACGAATAAAAGACAGGTAATAGATGTGCTCTTTCAAATGCTTTGCGAGAGAGATACGAAGACAGCTGAGCAGTTAGTGTTATCTTAAAATGAGTGCGTGTGTGTGTGTGTGTGTGTGAGCGAGGGATTATTAAAACAGGTGTGTGTCTCCACATGCTGATGGTGTGTGATTATTCATTACTTGCGGACTTGCTGCTAGCTCTCTGCTGAGAGCAAGTCCCAGAGTCACCTTGACTGAGCCTCATATAGAAATATCACACTTATTATAACTGCTACCGTGGCCTAACCTATCCAACCAATGAGAGACATGAGGATTCTACTTGATATTTGATTTAAACAAACTATATGATTTCATACAATGCACATGTATGCTTAAATATACTGCCCTAAAAGGGCATCTTTTTTATATCTCTGTCAAGGTGAGGATGCCTGCAGTTTCTGCTGGTCATACCTCAAATGTTCAGTTTGTCCATTCGCATCACTGATCCCTTTTTATGGGCTGTTGAACTATGAAAGACATAGAAAATAGAGAAAATAGGATGAGACCTTTTGCTGGTTCGCAGTCCATTTATCTCTAAAATGTTAATTATAGTAAATATTACCGCCCAGGGACATCGAAGCAGCTATGTGTTGTGACAGTAAGACAATGATAAATGGGGCTGTAAAATCCATGTAACTGGATTTTTGTGTGTGTTGCTCACAGTGCTTATCCAATGCATACATTGATTGTTTCTAGCTTCAGCTCAAATTTGAGAATTTATAGTCATCCAGAATTAAAATTCACACTGTGTGCTCTGGTCCCAGATGAACTGTGTTCTTGGTCAGCAGGTATGTAGCAGAAAACCCCTTACTCACATACTTTGAAATTAGCTATCTAATGTAGTTTAAGGAAGCACTTCTTATAATTTGCCCATCTTCTACTTCTTAATGGAAATCCTGATATTAGAATAGAACTAAATGTTGTTTAGTTAGCAATGTTTTTTGAAACAACACCAATGTCTGACATCCTAATCTGTAAAATGACCTTAAAAACTTGACATTTTGAATAATAGAAGATCTGACAAAAACAAAACATTTTATAAAATGGTAATCCTCACATTTCAGTGGTCTGACCAAAAACGACAGACTGACTGAAAATGCAAATTAAGTCTCTGAAGGTGGTTACTGTACAAAGCAGTACTTCCCTACATTTGAAAGTGAAGACAGTCAGTTCCCTTCAGATGTATACACTTGTATAACATGAATGGCCTATTTTAAGGTCCGAACAGCGAATTTGCAGGTATGTATTAAACTTATGGGACATCATATTAAGTAAATATTTATGTAAAGATTAATATTGAAGGAATAGAAACAGCTAAAGGTGTTACCGTGAATTTGGACTGTCAGTAAAGTTCATCTGAAATACACTAGGTCTTCTTTACAGTAACTTGTTTGGTCTCAGACAAGATTTACTGTATCATAAGATTTGAAAAGTTTTAAGCAAGCACAACATAACTTCATATTTGTATAGTCTGCATGAAACGTACGTTTCGATAGTCTTTTCTTCCCTATTGTGATCTATATCCAAGTGAAACAGATTCTCGAACAAGAAAAAAGGTAGGGCGGGACTTGATTTTGTCCTTCAGGAATTGATTGGAAAGTTGAATTGTTGTGGTTTGCTATTGCTGTGATGTCATATGAGTGACAGTTTGTAGCATTCACTTCATTAAACATGTCATCAGATAAGAGAAGAGATGTCATTGCAAGAGGGAGGGGAAGTTATTTTGATTAAAGATTACGAGGGCACATTCATTAAAAAAATGGTGTTAGTCATTTCTAATAAATACTGCAATATAAATAAAATAATAATAATAACTGTCAATTTTGATTTCATGGTGACTTTAAGAGCCCTCCAAGAAT